TTCACCTCTCTTTCACCTCTCACCTCTCTTTCACCTTTCACCTCTCTTTCAACCTCTCACCTCTCTTTCACCTTTCACCTCTCTTTCACCTTTCACCTCTCTTTCACCTTTCACCTCTCTTTCACCTTTCACCTCTCTTTCACCTTTCACCTCTCTCTTTCACCTTTCACCTCTCTTTCACCTTCACCTCTCTTTCACCTTCACCTCTCTTCACCTTTCACCTCTCGTTCACCTTCACCTCTCTTTCACCTCTTCACCTCTCTTTCACCTCTCACCTCTCTTTCACCTTTCACCTCTCTTTCACCTTTCACCTCTCTTTCACCTTCACCTCTCTTTCACCTCTCACCTCTCTTTCACCTCTCACCTCTCTTCACCTTTCACTCTCTTTCACCTTTCACCTCTCTTTCACCTCTCACCTCTCTTTCACCTCTCACCTCTCTTTCACCTCTCACCTCTCTTTCACCTTTCACCTCTCTTTCACCTTTCACCTCTCTTTCACCTTTCACCTCTCTTTCACCTTTCCCTCTCTTTCACCTCTCACCTCTCTTTCACCTCTCACCTCTCTTTCACCTCTCACCTCTCTTTCACCTTTCACCTCTCTTTCACCTTTCACCTCTCTTTCACCTTTCACCTTTCACCTCTCTTTCACCTTTCACCTCTCTTTCACCTTTCACCTCTCTTTCACCTTTCACCTCTCTTTCACCTTTCACCTCTCTTTCACCTTTCACCTCTCTTTCACCTTTCACCTCTCTTTCACCTTTCACCTCTCTTTCACCTTTCACCTCTCTTTCACCTTTCACCTCTCTTTCACCTCTCACCTCTCTTTCACCTCTCACCTCTCTTTCACCTTCACCTCTCTTTCACCTTTCACCTCTCTTTCACCTCTCACCTCTTTTCACCTTTCACCTCTCTTTCACCTTTCACCTCTCTTTCACCTTTCACCTCTCTTTCACCTTTCACCTCTCTTTCACCTTTCACCTCTCTTTCACCTTTCACCTCTCTTTCACCTTTCACTCTCTTTCACCTTCACCTCTCTTTCACCTTTCACCTCTCTTTCACCTTTCACCTCTCTTTCACCTTTCACCTCTCTTTCACCTTTCACCTCTCTTTCACCTCTCACCTCTCTTTCACCTCTCACCTCTCTTTCACCTTTCACCTCTCTTTCACCTTTCACCTCTCTTTCACCTTTCACCTCTCTTTCACCTTTCACCTCTCTTTCACCTTTCACCTCTCTTTCACCTTTCACCTCTCTTTCACCTTTCACCTCTCTTTCACCTTTCACCTCTCTTTCACCTTTCACCTCTATTTCACCTCTCACCTCTCTTTCACCTTTCACCTCTCTTTCACCTTTCACCTCTCTTTCACCTTTCACCTCTCTTTCACCTTTCACCTCTCTTTCACCTTTCACCTCTCTTTCACCTCTCACCTCTCTTTCACCTTTCACCTTTCACCTCTCTTTCACCTTTCACCTCTCTTTCACCTTTCACCTCTCTTTCACCTTTCACCTCTCTTTCACCTTTCACCTCTCTTTCACCTTTCACCTCTCTTTCACCTTTCACCTCTCCTTTCACCTTTCACCTCTCTTTCACCTTTCACCTCTCTTTCACCTTTCACCTCTCTTTCACCTTTCACCTCTCTTTCACTTTCACCTCTCTTTCACCTTTCACCTCTCTTTCACCTTTCACCTCTCTTTCACCTTTCACCTCTCTTTCACCTTTCACCTCTCTTTCACCTTTCACCTCTCTTTCACCTTTCACCTCTCTTCACCTTTCACCTCTCTTTCACCTTTCACCTCTCTTTCACCTTTCACCTCTCTTTCACCTTTCACCTCTCTTTCACCTTTCACCTCTCTTTCACCTTTCACCTCTCTTTCACCTCTCACCTCTCTTTCACCTCTCACCTCTCTTTCACCTTTCACCTCTCTTTCACCTTTCACCTCTCTTTCACCTTTCACCTCTCTTTCACCTTTCACCTCTCTTTCACCTCTCACCTCTCTTTCACCTTTCACCTCTCTTTCACCTTTCACCTCTCTTTCACCTTTCACCTCTCTTTCACCTCTCACCTCTCTTTCACCTTTCACCTCTCTTTCACCTCTCACCTCTCTTTCACCTTTCACCTCTCTTTCACCTCTCACCTCTCTTTCACCTTTCACCTCTCTTTCACCTCTCACCTCTCTTTCACCTTTCACCTCTCTTTCACCTCTCACCTCTCTTTCACCTTTCACCTCTCTTTCACCTTTCACCTCTCTTTCACCTTTCACCTCTCTTTCACCTTTCACCTCTCTTTCACCTCTCACCTCTCTTTCACCTTTCACCTCTCTTTCACCTTTCACCTCTCTTTCACCTTTCACCTCTCTTTCACCTTTCACCTCTCTTTCACCTCTCACCTCTCTTTCACCTCTCACCTCTCTTTCACCTTTCACCTCTCTTTCACCTTTCACCTCTCTTTCACCTTTCACCTCTCTTTCACCTCTCACCTCTCTTTCACCTTTCACCTCTCTTTCACCTTTCACCTCTCTTTCACCTTTCACCTCTCTTTCACCTTTCACCTCTCTTTCACCTTTCACCTCTCTTTCACCTCTCACCTCTCTTTCACCTCTCACCTCTCTTTCACCTCTCACCTCTCTTTCACCTTTCACCTCTCTTTCACCTTTCACCTCTCTTTCACCTTTCACCTCTCTTTCACCTCTCACCTCTCTTTCACCTCTCACCTCTCTTTCACCTTTCACCTCTCTTTCACCTTTCACCTCTCTTTCACCTTTCACCTCTCTTTCACCTTTCACCTCTCTTTCACCTCTCACCTCTCTTTCACCTTTCACCTCTCTTTCACCTCTCACCTCTCTTTCACCTTTCACCTCTCTTTCACCTCTCACCTCTCTTTCACCTTTCACCTCTCTTTCACCTTTCACCTCTCTTTCACCTTTCACCTCTCTTTCACCTTTCACCTCTCTTTCACCTTTCACCTCTCTCTTTCACCTTTCACCTCTCTTTCACCTTTCACCTCTCTTTCACCTTTCACCTCTCTTTCACCTTTCACCTCTCTTTCACCTTTCACCTCTCTTTCACCTTTCACCTCTCTTTCACCTTTCACCTCTCTTTCACCTTTCACCTCTCTTTCACCTTTCACCTCTCTTTCACCTTTCACCTCTCTTTCACCTTTCACCTCTCTTTCACCTTTCACCTCTCTTTCACCTTTCACCTCTCTTTCACCTTTCACCTCTCTTTCACCTTTCACCTCTCTTTCACCTTTCACCTCTCTTTCACCTTTCACCTCTCTTTCACCTTTCACCTCTCTTTCACCTTTCACCTCTCTTTCACCTTTCACCTCTCTTTCACCTTTCACCTCTCTTTCACCTCTCACCTCTCTTTCACCTCTCACCTCTCTTTCACCTCTCACCTCTCTCTTTCACCTCTCACCTCTCTTTCACCTTTCACCTCTCTTTCACCTCTCACCTCTCTTTCACCTTTCACCTCTCTTTCACCTTTCACCTCTCTTTCACCTTTCACCTTTCTTTCACCTTTCACCTCTCTTTCACCTTTCACCTCTCTTTCACCTTTCACCTCTCTTTCACCTTTCACCTCTCTTTCACCTTTCACCTCTCTTTCACCTTTCACCTCTCTTTCACCTTTCACCTCTCTTTCACCTTTCACCTCTCTTTCACCTTTCACCTCTCTTTCACCTTTCACCTCTCTTTCACCTTTCACCTCTCTTTCACCTTTCACCTCTCTTTCACCTTTCACCTCTCTTTCACCTTTCACCTCTCTTTCACCTTTCACCTCTCTTTCACCTTTCACCTCTCTTTCACCTTTCACCTCTCTTTCACCTTTCACCTCTCTTTCACCTTTCACCTCTCTTTCACCTTTCACCTCTCTTTCACCTTTCACCTCTCTTTCACCTTTCACCTCTCTTTCACCTTTCACCTCTCTTTCACCTTTCACCTCTCTTTCACCTTTCACCTCTCTTTCACCTTTCACCTCTCTTTCACCTTTCACCTCTCTTTCACCTTTCACCTCTCTTTCACCTTTCACCTCTCTTTCACCTTTCACCTCTCTTTCACCTTTCACCTCTCTTTCACCTTTCACCATGAATCTCTGCTCCGTCTTTTTCCTCTGCTCACCCAATCCCCAATTATCTATTTTCGGTCTCTCACTCCCACGTCCTTGTTACCTCTGTCACCCTTCCCTGGTTTCTTACCACTTCCCTCTCCTCCGTCTAACCGCTTTTAGCACTTCACGGCATGAAAGAACCACCTTTGAAGCCTGGGTCTGGCAGAAAAAGCTTACTGATATGAGCTGTTCTACACCGAACGCTGAATGTTGTTCCTAAACCTGTGAAATTTGGGAAGAAAATTAGCATGACCTGCTAATTCTGCCCCATAAGCATGCACACATGTCTTCAGTTAGAAAGGTACCGAACATATTGAAACTAGACGAGTCAGTACCACTTCTTACAATGGCACATGCAACAAGGGAATACTGTACCCAGGCTGACCCTGGTAGCTAATGGTGATGGACAAGCCCAACCCAATACACGGCCACTGTGCAACACTATTGGTGGTATAACAGGCCATTGTTGTCGAGGACACAACTCACTTGTAATGATATCCACACCAAGTTGTGACACCTAATGACGCAGCCAACCAACTACAGAGCAACACTCATATAGTGATGAATACAGGTGCTATTGCTGAACATATAACGCTCATGGTGACGGACACGTAGGGTGCAGGACTTGATCCTTAGAGCCAAATGGTCAGCTACAGTGTGAAGCACTTCACCTCGCCTAAGAACGCAACTACAGTGCAACGGTCATGGTGATGGACACATAGGGGTGCAAGATATGATTCCGGAGCACATAACGCAGCTGTAGTGCAACGCTCATGGTGATGGACACCTAGGAATGCATTCTATGGTGATGGTGCCCGCCTCTGAGAAATCCCACAAGTCAGCTACACCGGTCCGTAAAGCTATTGTACCTTGCCTTATAGGGCAGCTAGGCAGTTAAAGTGCAACGCTCATGGTGATGGACACATAGGGATGCAGGTCGTGGTCTCCTCCTGTCAGCCCTGCCAGGCTGGCATCGCTGTCCGTCAACCTCCAGTGCTCGCTGTGGGTGCAGAGGGAGCAATCGTGAAAGAAGGGGGTGAGAAAGGGAGGGAGTCAGAAAGGAAGTGAGAAAGGGACTAAGTAAAAACCAGGAGGTGAGACGGGAAGCAGTGGGAAGGGGAGAGGGAACGGGGAAGGCAGAGGGATGGACAGACTGTTACCTCTGCTGCTTACCTGTTATCCGTGTTGCTCAATGTTTCCAGAACCAAACAGAGGCCTCACCGTACCAAACTGCGCAGCACCAAGTGTCACTGCACCATTGTCTCTCACCCGTCACCTGTGCTGCTCACCTGTTATCTGTGTTGCTCAGTGTTTCCAGAATGGAGCGAAGGCGCTTCTCCGATCGCTGCGAGGGGGTCATGAGGGCAGGCTGGGTGGGGAGGGAGATGACAAGGGTTGCTTTATCAACCAGTGGAACACGTCAAACAATCAGCCTACAAAAGCAGCACTGACCAGCAAGGCGGTACTGGTTTTCAACTCGACTTACAAATCATCAAGGGAGGTACTGATCAGCAAGGCAGGAGGAAGGCCGTAAAAAAAGGTGGTCTCAGCAAAGTAACTTTTGAGTCGACTAAAAAATCACCTCTTTTTGAGTCGACTAAAAAATCACCTCCTTTTGAGTCGACTCACACATCATCAAGGGTGGTACTGATCAGCAGGGAAGGAGGGGGGTCGTGGAAAAGAACGGTCTCAGCAAAGAAGCCAGAGGAGCAGCACTGACCAGGAAGGCGGGAGGGAGGCCGTAGCGAAGGATGCTCTCGGCAAAGAGGCAAATGACAGCAAGAGTGTCCTTGAGTTGACAACAAGAACGATAATTGCACACCCACCAGGAAGGTGGCAATGGCGGGACTCACGAGGAAGGCGGGAGGGAGGCCGTAGCGAAGGATGCTCTCGGCAAAGAGGCGAATGACAGCAATGTGCATCCACGACGCGAACACCTGGAGGGGAGGGTGAAAGCAGGAGGGAGGGATGAGAACTGGCAGATGGGGAAGGAGGCCATAGGGAAGGATGCTCTCTTGGGAAAGGGGTGAATGACAGCAATGTGCATCCAGGACGCGAACACCTGGAAAGAGAAAGAGAAAGAGAAATAGAGAAGAGAATGAGAAAAGAGAGGAGGAGGCGAATGACAACAACGTGCATCCACGCAACACCAATAACCTCCAAATACCGCTCTGCACCCCCAAGTACACATTCACATTGTTTCATTCCGCTCCGTACCGCTCTATATCCGAGCGTACCTCTCCGTATCCCACGTGGCACCACTGCAGCAGGGACGCGGACATGGAAGCACTGTCCTCCAGCAGCCGCTCCTGATCCTCCTTCCTCTGGTTTGCACCGTCAGGGTCGTGCTCGTACTCTCGCACCTGATGGGAAACAAGGGGAATACCACAGAGACAGAGGAAATACAGAGGCAGGGGCGGGGATAATGAGTTGAGCCAGCAGCCGCTCCTGATCCTCCTTCCTCTGGTTCGCCCCGTCGGGGTCGTGCTCGTACTCTCGCACCTGGCAGGAGTGCAGGGCAGTGAAGTCAGTGAGGAGAGGGCTTGTGAAACAGAGGGAGTGGAGGGTGGTGAGTGAGGAGTTGAGTGGAGAGTTAGTAAGAGGAGAGTAAGAGGAGAGTAAGAGGAGAGTAAGTGGAGAGTCAGCAGGTGACATGGCGACACCCACGCCCGCGCCACCCAAGCCCGCGTCAGCAACTGACGTGGCGACGCAGCAGCGGCTGCTTGATCTGGCAGGGGCGATGATCCAGAGGAATGCGCAAAGCGAGGGGGGGCTGACATCAGGTGAAGGTGAGTTGGCGAGTGTCAGTTGTGAGGTCTTTTGCATCGTCAAACTGCACTGCATGGCTGTGGGGGTTGCTGCAGCAAGTGAGAGTGCGTGAGTGAGTGAGTGAGAGGGAGAGAGCCTCACCTGAAAGCCCTTCTCCCTGGCGGCCACCTTAAACGTGTCCACCACTCGCTTGAAGAGCGTGACCGTGAAGAGCGCGTACTCGTTGTCCTCTGTTATCTTCTTGGACGATTGGGGGACCTGTGAGAGAGGGGTGGGTGCGAGACGGGAAGCGAGGGAACCTACTGAAGAGCGTGACAGTGAAGAGCGCGTACTCGTTGTCCTCTGTTATCTTCTTAGAGGATTGGGGCACCTGGGAAGGGGTGAGATAGACAGGGAGGTGGAGTATGGAACATCGGGTGAATTTGAATGGTGAGACAAGTTGAAGAGTGTCACAGTGAAGAACGCGTACTTGTTCTCCTCTGTAATCTTCTTATAGGATTGGGGCACCTGGTACGGGGAGAGAGACGAGGGAAGTAGGGCATGGAACATGGGGTGGATATAAATTGCGAGTCACGCTGCAGAGAGTAACAGTGAAGGGGAAAGCGCCTCGTAGGAGGCGAGCCAGTCCCTCTCTGAGTATTTAGCCATCACCACGAGCAGCGTGGTCATGTGCTCTGAGACGATGAAGCCATTCAGTGAGTGTGATGTGCCCCGCCCTGGGAAGAGCAACACAATGATGGATGTGTATCACCTATACAAAACATACCTACCACGAAGGTGGAGAGCGTGTAGTGAGGTGTATTTTGAGGCGCCTCAAAATGTGCCCCGCCGTGGGAACACAATGATGATGGATGTGTACCACCCATTCAAAACGTGCAACACAATGATGATGGATGTGTACCACCCATTCAAAACGTGCAACACAATGATGATGGATGATGTGTACCACCCATTCAAAACGTGCAACACAATGATGATGGATGATGTGTACCACCCATTCAAAACGTGCAACACAATGATGATGGATGTGTACCACCCATTCAAAACGTGCAACACAATGATGATGGATGTGTACCACCCATTCAAAACGTGCAACACAATGATGATGGATGTGTACCACCCATTCAAAACATACTTACCACGAAGGTGGAGAGCGTCTCGTACGAAGCCAGCCAGTCCCTCTCTGAGTATTTAGCAACCACCACGAGCAGAGTCGTCATGTGCTCGGAGACAATGATGTCGCTGTCCTGCACTATGGTGGAGAGGTCCCGCACCAACATGCTGCAGTGAGAAACGCAGGGGGGTGGGAGTGGGAGCACAGGGAATGAGTGCGAGGGAAAGCAGTGAGAGAGTGTGCTGAAGGGCTCTGAGATGATGGTGCCGCTGTCCTGCACTATGGTGGAGAGGTCCCGCACCAACATGCTGCAAGGGGGAAAGCAGCAGCAGGGAAAGGGAATGAGAGAGAGGGAAGGCAGTAGGCAAGTGTTGTGATCTGCTCTGGCAGGAGACGATGGTATCGCTGTCCTGCACTATTGTGGAGAGGTCCCGCACGAGCATGCTGCAAGGTGGGGAGGAGTGCAAGGGGATGGGAATGGGCGTGAGGGGGTGGAAAGAGATGGGAGTGAGAGGAAGGGGAGGCAGTGACATAGTCTAGTCTAGTCATGTGCTCTGAGACGTTGATGTCGCTATCCTGCATTATGGTGGAGAGGTCCCGCACGAGCATGCTGTGAGGTGGGGGGGGGGGGGGGGGGGAGGATGAGAGCAAAGGAAATGAGAGGGAAGGAATGGAGATAGAGTTGGAATGATCCGGAGACGATGATATCACTGTCGTGCACTATGGTGGAGAGATCTCGGACAACCATGCTGCAGCAGTGGGGAAAGGAGGAGGGGAGGAGAGGCGGTGCAATTTCCAAAAACTGCTCACAAGAAAGCAGGATGAAGCACCAGAGGTATGGAATGCACCGGCCTTCTGGTTGATTGAATTTGTAATGGGGACGACATGGGAAACCAGAGCAAAACATCGGGATAGGGATGTCAGACAGTGGGATGCCTTACCTGCCGCCAGCCTTGCGGTTGATAGCACTGAGCTGGCTGCGCACTGTGGTGTACTCTGATGCCCGCACCTGGTGGGGGGAGAACGGGGGGAGATACACGAGAGGGCACCGAGTCAACACGAGTCAAATAAAGTCAACTGAGCTGGCTGCGCACAGTGGTGTACTCTGATGCCCGTGGTGGGGCGGGGAGGGAGGAAGATCCAATAAAGGGAGACAGCACAGCTCCATGGTTGCAGCTCATTAAAATCAATTTGTCAAATGAACTCAGCTGCCTGCACATCATTTTACTCACATTCGCTTCATACTCGGTGAAAGGTCTTGCATGCATCTATCACACTTCAGTGAAGCATAACAAACCTTGAAATTGTCATTTACCTTGGATACGAACCTCCTGATCAACTCCACCATCTCCCTTCGAGGCGTGGTCACTGGGTACTTGGCTTCATGCTAAGTTACAAATAACTAACCTTAAGGTCGTCTTCTATCTTGGACACAGACTCCTGAATCGACTCCACCATCTCCCTTAGAGGCGTGGTCACCGGGTACTTGGCTTCATCCCACTGAAAGCTGAGGCAGCACAAAGCAAGGGGAGTATTTGAGAGAAATACAGCAGGGACAAGATCAGAATGTGCCTCCTGGATCGACTCCACCATCTCAAGTAGAGGCGTGACCACAGGGTACTTGGCTTCATCCCACTGAAAGCTGTATCAGCTCCAGCCAAAGGGAATATTCAAGGGAGAAACAACAGGAGAAAGATATCAGTATGTGCCTTGTGAAACCCAACATCTACCTAGAACCCATATAAGGGCATCTTACCGAGGTCACCTGGTCTGGTCATTAAGGAGATAACTCTTGAGTCGACTCAGATTACCGAGTGAGTGCATTACCCACTTGGTCATGTAGGAATCCACAGGGACGCCGTCGACCGAAAGAGCGCCGGAGTTGGTGCCTTGAACACGATCCAGCTCCTCTATCTGCCGCCGCATCTTGTTTGCGACTCCCTCCACATGTGCGCTTGCCTGAGTTGCAATGCAATGAAGATGCACCAGGAAACACGTGAAAAGATTGTATACATTGCATTGCACCACCACCACCAGCCTGTTCAGCTCCTCTATCTGCCGCCGCATCTGCATCTTGTTTGCCACTCCCTCCACATGCGTGCTTGCCTGGATGTCAGCACGCGTGAGAATGCATGATATACATTTGTATTGCATTAGATATATATCTACTGAGTGGTGTATACGGAGTGGTGTGTTGCAGCTCGGTCGGCAAGAATGACGAAATCAGCCCTGAAGAAAAAACGGACCTGAACAGATTCTACCACTGTGTGGGAGTGGGAGGGGAAAGAGCCAGGGGAGCGAACCAAAGACAGACCACCCACCTTGACAAGGCCATCACTAAGAGATGGGAGGAGAGTGTATATCGCAGAGGAAGGACGTGCAGTTGCGGGACAGAGAGAGCGAGGGAGCAAGGGCGCATTGCAATCTGCGACTCCTCGGCTGTCTAACCACCCGTCTATTCACCTATCCAGCCACCCATCGAACCACCTCTTCGACCACCTATTCTCTACCTCTCGTACCATCCAACCCACCCACCTTGACGAGGTCGTCACTGAGGGATAGGAGCGAGTCGAGCGTGCCCACACGCAGACCAGGCACGTACAGCTGCAATATGAAAAAAACAAAAAAAAACGCATCAGGCACATCCAAGATCAGGGACGAGACGGACGGGAAAGCAATCAAAAGGCTCAGGTGCAGAGCCAAACGACAAGCTGAAAACGGTAGGATCACGGGAAAGTGCGGATCAGGATGCAGTTAGCCGGAACGTATACTTTTAAGTAGGCTAGGAATTTTGGATGAGGATGCGGTTCACCGTGAATGCAGGATTTGCGACAAGATGTTTGCAATGATAGCTGTCGTTTGGAGTAGCGGGCTCGACTGAGCTTGATACGGAAAACGAAACCAAGAATGTCTTTTGAACTGACATTACTCGATCGATACATTTTTATTGGCAGTATACAAAAGAAGAAGAGGAGAAATGTAAACTTGAAGAGTCAAGGTGCCAATGTTCCACTGACATTAAAGACAGAGGTTCAAGCTGGCTACCTTATAATAAGGAAGGGACATGGATCTGTTGATGCTGTCCTGTAGTGCACCCCACGTGCTCTCCTCTTGAGACGTCTCAAAAGTCGTTTACCTTATAATAGGGAAGGTCGGACAGAGATCTGTTGATGTTGTCCTGTAGTGCACCCCACGTGCTCTCCTTAGATCCGTGCAGCGGTAGAGACACGAGCCAATAAGGCCTCGACATCTGGCGATCCGAGGCAAATGGAATGGGATCAGGGAACAACGATTTGCAGGGAGACGACGAGACGGGTGATCGGGGAGATTGATTGGATTTTACTAGCCTTTGCGGTGCAAGCAAGAATGGGAACGGGGGAATGTCTAGGTAACACAGGCCAGGTGATCTCGGCTTTATTGGAAGAATATGAGGAGGCCGTACATTTACCTCTGTGCTTTACTCGTACACGACGGTGTTACGGTGGTGAGATGCGAGACGCAGAAGGGCCAACAGAGTCGAGACGCCTATTGCTGTCCTAGAGCCGAATAGACAGCGATTTTATTACGAAATACAAATGCTAGTGTGAACAGAATGCTGATTCCTCGAAATTTGTCCCTCGAGAAAACGAGCAATGAAACCACGACCATTCACATGAAAAATGCTCGGTTCATGTTTCATAATCAGCAGCAGGTTTGCTTGGGTTCGACGTAGAGAACTGACGGTTCGGTTCGTGTTTTCTCGGTGATGGTCCTAACATGTGTTCAGGAATTGTCCTTGCACAACCAGAGCTTGGGGAGTCGGGGGAATCGGGGAGAGATGCCTCCGGCGGAAAAAATCAGCGGAGCTGAAAGCGGGTGCCTGCGCAAGCCTGGAGAATCCCGCGCTACTGCGTAGTTTTCACCGCTAGCCAGTGGCAAAATTCAGGGGGCCTTGAGATGGTCTGGACTCTGGAGGCGGGAATCGCTGACAGGCAAGGCAGACGTCTGACGAGAAATGCTGGGATAGGAAGTTACAGTAACTTAGTGATAGCGAACGAACGACCGTTTTTGTCAATCATCGCAGTTCTGTCATCCTGCAACACAACCAACCTCTTTCACACCACCAACGACCTCAAACAACCACTGGATTTGATCCAATCAATCGCACGGTTCGTGTCTTCCCTCCCGAACTAGGAATGGCTCAACCACCCTCAGATTCACTGGAAGGGAGCATCCCAAACCATCTAAACCCGACTCCGCCTAACCTAACCCAAAGGTGTCATGTTCGGCAACTCCAATCTCAGAACCCTAGCTCCCTCCTCCGCCATGCTTCAAAGAAGCTGGGATTCAAAGAACACAGGCGTTTCTTGTTGGCAGAGTCCCCTAGGCTTTTCCTCCAGGTGGGAAGGTATAGGTGCCTGCAGCAGTGAGCGAGTGCGGAAGTGCTGGGTGGGAGCCGAAGTGCTGCAGTTTCTGCAATCTTGCTAGCCTTCTTCTGCTGTTTCGCTTCTACCTGCGGCTTGCGTGGTTTGTTCAGCTAGTGCAGAAAGCGGGTTTGCAGTCCTGGAACCATGGCGTCCACGTCAGCTTTCAAGTTCCTGAGCCAGCTTCCTGCACCTAAGAACAAGAGCGTCTACGACGCTTCCTCGGACGCCTGGTTTGCGAATCGCGACAGAGATCCAGATGCCGCAGTTGGCGGAGCGGCAGCAGGGGGTAAGATTGTTTCTAAACGCCAGATACCTCCTTACGACAAGAGGCAAGGTTTTGTCCCGCGGCGCGCCGAGGACTTCGGCGATGGCGGCGCGTTCCCGGAGATTCACGTGGCGCAGTATCCGTTGGATATGGGTCGAAAGCAGGAGAAGTTTACCAACAAGGTGCTTCCTGTGACTGTTGACGGGGAAGGCAATATCGCGTACGACGCTATAGTGAAGCTCGGAGAAAATTCGCAGAAGGTGGTGTACAGCCAGCACAAGGACCTAATCCCGAAGATCCAGGACGAGGATCTGGAAGCGCTTCGGGACGAAGAGGACGAGGATGAGATGAAGGAAACCGCGGAGCGAACCAAGGCAGCCATAGATAAGATCGTCACGGCTCGGCTCAGTGCGGCTCAGCCTAAGAACGTCCCCGGTATTTCCAAGACCCCGCAGTATATTAAGTACACTCCCGGTATGCAGAATTCCGCTCATAACTCCGGCGCGAAGGAGCGCGTTATCCGCATGGTCGAGATGCCGGTCGATCCGCTGGACCCTCCTAAATTCAAGCATAAGCGCGTTCCGAAAGCGTCCGGCTCGCCGCCGGTCCCGGTGATGCACTCCCCGCCTCGGCCGGTTACTGTGAAGGACCAGCAGGATTGGAAGATCCCTCCTTGCATTTCCAACTGGAAGAATCCTAAGGGGTATACTATTCCGTTGGATAAGCGTCTCGCGGCCGACGGTCGCGGGCTGCAGGAAGTGCAGATTAACGACAACTTCGCCCGCCTGTCCGAGTCGCTATACGTCGCGGAGAATAAGGCGCGCGAGGAGGTGGAGATGCGGTCGAAGATCCAGCGGGAGAGGATGCTGCTGGAGAAGGAGAAGAAGGAGCAGGAGCTCCGCCTGCTGGCGCAAAAGGCGCGCATGGAGCGCGCAGGCGGAGGCACCGGCGGAGGCGGAGGCGGAGGCGGAGGGGCTGGCGGAGGCGCGCTGGTCTCTCGCGAGGCTGCCGCAGGCGGAGCGGAAGGTGGGTACGGGCGGGCGGAAGGGGACGAGCCCCGGCGCGGGGAGACGCGGGAGGAGCGCGAGGAGCGGATGCGGAGGGAGGCGCTGCGGGAGGAGCGGCGCAGGGAGCGGGAGCGGGAGCGGCGGCTGGAGGCGAAGGAAGGCGCGGGCGGAAAGAAGAGCAAACTCACGCGCGACCGTGACCGCGATATCAGCGAGAAAATGGCGCTTGGGCTCGCGAACGTGGGCGGCGCCGGCGGCGGCGGGGAGATTATGTACGACCAGCGGCTTTTCAACCAGGAGCAGGGTATGGAGTCCGGTTTTGCCGCTGACGACACGTATAATATCTACGATAAGGGGCTGTTTAACCGCGAGGGCGCGAGCGGGCTGTATAAGGTGCGCAAGGGGGTTGACGAGGAGGTGTACGCGGGGAGGGGCGGCGGGGAGGAGGGCGGCGGAGCGGACGCGCTTCTGCGCACGGAGCGGTTCAAGCCGGATAAGGGCTTCGCGGGCGCGGCGGAGCGGGGCGCGGGCGGCGGCGGCGGGGCGCCGCGCGACGGCCCGGTGGAGTTTGAGCGCGATGCGGCGGTTGAGGCGGATCCGTTCGGGTTGGATCAGTTCTTGACGCAGGTGAAGACGGGGAAGAAGGCGCTGGATAAGGTGGGCGCGGGCGGAACCATGCGCGCGAGCGGAGGCGGGGGGAGCTACGAGGCGTACGAGGGGGGGAGCTCGCGGAACCGGGTGGATTTCGAGCGGGGGAGGTGAGGGGAAATTCGTAGGGGAATGGGGGAGGAAGGGGGAGGGGAGGGGGGAAGGAGGGGAAAGGGGAGGGACGGGGTGGTGGGGTTTGAGCGGGAGTGGCGGTGGTTGAGGGGGGGGCGGATTTGTTCGGGTTGGATCAGTTCTTGACGCAGGTGAAGACGGGGAAAAAGGCGCTGGATAAAGTGGGCGCGGGCGGAACCATGCGCGCGAGCGGGGGCGGGGGAAGCTACGAGGCCTACGAGGGGGGGAGCTCGCGGAACCGGGTCGATTTCGAGCGGGGGAGGTGATGTGGGGAAGAGATGAAGACGGGGACGAAGGCGCTGGATAAGGTGGGCGCGGGCGGAACGATGCGCGCGAGCGGAGGCGGGGGCAGCTACGAGGCGTACGAGGGGGGAAGCTCGCGGAACCGTGTGGACTTTGAGCGGGGGAGGTGAGCGGAGAGTTGCGGGGGAGTTGGGGAGGAGTAGGGTGCGCGCGAGCGGAGGCGGGGGAAGTTACGAGGCGTACGAAGGGGGGAGCTTGTGGAACAGGGTCGTTTTTTAGCGGGGGAGGTGAGGGGAGAGTTTCGGGGGAAGGGGGATGGGGGAGGGGAAAGAGGGGAGGGGGATGCTTGTGGGAGTGAGGAGGATGGAGGAGTGAGGGTGCCGTGATTGTGAGTGGAGGAGTGAGCTTCGAGGTGTATGAGGAGAGGATGGGATTTGAGGAGCTGGTTTGGGTGGATAGTGAAAGGGGAAGTGAGCGGTCAGAGCAGTAGAATGGGGAAGGAGGAAATGAAGTGAAGGAGTCTGAAGAAAGGGGGTGGAAGGCGATTCATTGGTGCTGAATGTGGAGGAAGTTGGGGGGTTGGAGTATCGTAAGGCGAGGGCCAATCTGCATTTGATTTATGGTTGCTTGCTGCAGTTTTATGCCATCAGATTTCGGGCTTGAAGTAAGGTGATTCTTCTACTGCTGCTAGCTGATATTTCTTTGTGATCTGCTGCTGACATGTCCACCTGCTTTGGTTCCCATGGATTCTTCGTCCATTGTGATATAAGCCTGGCACATTGGTTAGTGTGCGTTCATCAAACCTAGTATGCTAGGCCTATACTGGCAGTAGAAACAACACATTCTGTGCTTATGATGACTGTAAGCATCTGTAGGTTACTACGTACCTCTGTTCATCTTTACCGTAACGAGCTATGGGAAAATCGACCGCGATCCGCATCGATTTTACCGCGTCTTCAGATCAGATATAGCAGCAACCTGTTGAGTCTGGTCTGGTTGAAGCAGTCTTGGCACTCCCCCGGTATGTAGTAAATTTAGGCATTCGAGTTGTGTACATACCAGCTAGTAGCTTGACAAGTCAGCGATACAGCTAGTGTGCTTCGCCAAGACAATACCTCACGTTTTGCATCAAGATTGCTTGTCTGTTATCTCGAATAGCCGCTCGCCGACCGAACCCTCGCGCCCAGCAATACGCGATGTCTCGCACACGGATCGATGATTTATCTGACGAACTCCTCGTGAAGATTTTCTGGCACAGCGATCAGCCAATCCCTAAGCAACCTGACAGCGACGCTCTGGGGAGCTTCTGCAGTTCTAGTCCGAGATACCTCCAATCGAAACGCGAAACGCCGAAACGCAGTGAGAGTCCTTTACCGACTCCGCCTGTCTCCGCAAACGCTGCCTATAATTTGCTCATTGCTTCGATCTGCCGTCGCTGGCGCCGTCTCGCTCGGCGCTACGTCTCCACGCTTTTTATTAAAGACAATCCTGTAGTTTCTCGCGTAGAAATCTTGAACGCTATCGCTTGTTTCCCAAACGTCACTCATTTTGAAATCAGCGACGTCAGCATAGGAACGATAGACGAGGAGTTCCTAGATCACCTCGCCTCGTCATGTCCTAAGTTGAGAATTCTTGACCTAACCAGCGACACGGAGGAACTGTTCGAAGGTGGTGCTAGAACTAACCTGCAACCGTTAGATATAGACTGTTTGGATAGATTTTTCCGGCGGTGCACTCAACTGGAACAGCTACGTCTCTTCTGTCTCCATGACCACGCGCGCCTGCCAGCATCGTTTTTTCAGCAGAAGCGTCTCCACACTCTTTCTCTCCTTCAGCATAACCTGTTACAAAATCGTCACGAACTTGTAGACTTAAATTCTCTCACCGTTCTAGACATTCCAGACCTAGGAAACCCAGGAATGTACTTGCAAGATCTAATAGTTTTCACTAGTTTACGCAGCTTGACACGTCTTGTAATTCCGGAGGCGTGCGGCTCTCTATACGATTTTCCCGATGATGATCCGTTTTCCATCGCACAGTTTTCTTCCCTAAAAGCATTGGAATTCATGGATAGCAGTCCCCAATTCGACCTACTGTTTCCTTCCGGCTCGCCATGCGCCAGCCTTGAACAGCTACGGATCACCAACTGCATGGAACTCGAGCGTCTTCCTAACGACGTTGCCACGCTTTTGCCACGCCTTCGCGAGCTAAGTCTCCATAGATGCTCTACGCTCGCGCACCTGCCTGAAGAGTTTCTCTCCTTAAGCCGTCTCGAATTTCTAAGTATTTATCACTGCAAAGCGTTCTCTAGCCTGCCTGAAAACTTCGGACGCCTCACTGCCCTCAAGACTTTAAAACTGGATAACCTTCCACTCGTGCACCTCCCTGAATCACTGTGCTGTCTTTCTTCGCTGGAGACGCTGTTTTTGATTGGCTGCCGCGAGATTCGCGAATTGCCAGTGGAATTTTGCTGCCTGCCAGCCGTCAAGACGCTGTGGCTGGAATTACCACTGGTCATGCTTCCAGCCGGTATCGGACGGTTTAGAAATCTCCAGAATTTTTACCTGAATGGCAACCAGAAGCTGCTGCTGCTTCCATCCTCTTTCACCCAACTCTCTTCCTTGACGCGGTTGGAATTCAAAAGCTGCTCGCTATTGAAGCTTCCGGAGGACATGGGGATGCTAAGCAGCTTACGGGAGTTATTCATCAGTTCCTGCCAAATCGTGGAGCTTCCAGAGTCGTTGACGGGCATTTCTGGCCTTGAAATTCTGGCCGTTAATTGCTGCACAAGGCTACGTTCTGTACCATCCAGGCTGGAGGCTTTCTCAAGGCTTGAAGTGCTGGAGTTTGATGGATGCGAGAATCTGAGGGAGTTGCCTGAATTCCTGCCACAATCTCTCGAGGTGCTTGATCTTGGAAACCGCAGAAACGTCACACCTCTGCCGAATGTCACCATGCTGCCAAAGCTGAGGAAGCTGAACCTGAGACTGGTTGAGGTTGCACGGGGCGTGACAGCCAGCAAGGGCTTATCTGGTCTGGAGAATTTGTACCTGAATCCAGGCAACGCCACGAAGCTTCCTTTTCCGTTGGCTTACCTTTCTCAGCTCCTTTCTCTGACAATCGGGACTGCCAGGAGGGTGGAGGCGCTTCCGGATTTTGGGTCCACAATGGTGCAGCTGCGGCAGCTGCGCATTCACCATGCCAATGAGCTGAAGGAGCTGCCAGCAAGTATTGTGGAGCTTCCGCGGTTAACAATTCTGGAGATTCACGCTCCTAAGCTGGCTTGTCTTCCTGAGAATCTGGGTTTGTTATCCAGGCTGCATGAGCTGGACCTATCCGGATGCACCGCTCTGGAGCATCTGCCTGCTTCACTGACCCAGCTCGCCTACCTTAATAGCCTGGATGTTAAAGACAGCCTGATCCGCTCGCTGCCGCCCGGTTTCGAGCAGCTAGCCAGGCTCCATACGCTTTTCCTGGCGGGCTGCAAGCATCTGGAGTCCCTTCCTGAGAATTTCACCAAGCTCACAACACTGAGGGACTTGAATGTTTATGGGTGTCTTAAAGTCATTGATTCTGAAGGTTTTGTGCGTCCTCGTGGCATTCATGAGATGAAACTGGTGGGATTATTCAAGTAGCAAGTTTGTATCAGGCCGAGATATTTCTTGCATTTTGCAAGTTTGTATGAATATCTATGATTGAACGTTTTTTGTGATGTTTAGACGACGTGGATGCGCTTCATGCTGGCTGGTGCAAGGGAGTGACCAGGCACTGAGGCACATTTGACAGTAAGGGTGGACATTTATTCGTGACAGTATTCTATGGTTCTGTTGTGTAGGTACCATTCTTTTGGTTTCTTGATGTAGTGTGAGTTCGCAGGAATTTTTCTTCACGGAGGCAGGGTGCGAAGTACATGTACTCGGCCATTTCCGGAGGCTTTTATGGCAACTGCTACTCTTCCTCCCTGGACAAGCTCCAGAAAGGTGTTTGATTATGTGTCGCGCAGCCATCTTCGGGGCCACGTTTTCAACAGCTTCAATATCACCCGCTTTGGCGATCAAACGAGCTGCCATAATGCGTCGAATCAGCGTTCCTGTCAAATTCTGTCTGGTAATGCGTCGATCAGGAGTCCGTCGCACAGCCGATTGTCTTACAGAAGCGCGTCGCACAGGGGTTTATCGCACAGCTTGTCGCTTAGAGGTTTGTCGCACGGTAATCCGTCGCGTGAAGGTTTCTACGACCAAGCTCTGCGAAGCGTGTCGGCGAGGAGCCAATCACAGGTCAGAACAGCTGCAACGAGCGCTCCGCTACTAGCAGACGCCGAGGCGGCAATAGAACGAAATTTAGAACGCGCACCCGTGTATCTTAAAGACATGAGCTTCCAGCAACTAGAGGTGAGTCCGATTTTCCGATACACGGCTTTGGCCATGGGGGGGGGGATGGGAGGCGGATTTGTTAGAATTCGCAGAAATCTCCTGCATAATTAGGAAAAAGGGGGAGTGGGAAGGGTTGGCTGGGTCGGGCCTGGATGCGCGATAATATCTCTATAAGGGTGTGGATTGCGATTATGCCTGTTGTGACTATATCGCAGGATTGGGTGGCAGCGGAGTGTGGGGAGGAGCACAGGAGGCGGGCAAAGGTCCTGTGGAAGTGGCTATATCGAGACGCTCACTGGGCTGAGAGTGTCGATGACATGGCAGGTGAAGCTGATGACGTGGCAAATGAGCCTGATGATGTGGTTGCCGTAGCTGCTGAGAAGCAGTTTTTCTACACTTCTTTTCCCTCCTTCCATCCCTCTCTTTGAGACTTTCAAGACATTGGCAAAAAAAATCCCGCAAACGTCTTAGAATCCCTAGTATCTGCACAAAAGAATTTATTGCCCTTCCATCCCCACCGCTCAGGTCCCTGTATTCCTAAACTCTTTCCTCCCTCTCACTATTTTCCGTTGCATGTATCAGCTGCTCCTTTCTCTCTCTATGTTTGTCTGCACTGCAGGCGTCAGTCGCTCCTTCCTCTCCCTCCTTGTGGCCTTGGTGACTTTTGAAATTTCCAAAAGGGGACTCCTTTCTCTCTCTATGTTTGTCTGCTCTGCAGGTGTCAGTCGCTCCTTCCTCTCCCTCCTCGCCTCCTCCGGTGCTCGCTTCTCCTCCCTGCGCCTGCACTCCGTCCGAACAGCCACCGACGGCACAAAGAAGGTGGGTGGTATGTTACACACACACACACACACACACACACACACACGTTCTGTCATAGACACAGGTGTGGTCGAAACGGTGCTCATTTCATTCCCCACCGACCAACCTTGGCTTGTACGAACCTTTCCGAACCACTCCCAACCTTTTCGACACGCACCGCTTGACAGGTGCTGTTTGAGCTGAGCTGAGTCACGGTGCTGACTTGTCTCCTTCTGACCGCCCCAGGAGACTAGGCGTGACAAAAACAGTGCCCATTCCCCACAGACCTTGTCTCAACTGGCGCACAAACCGTTTCTAACCGTTCCCAACCCCCATGTGGACCCCCCTTCACGGCCTCGCCCTTTGCAGGTGCTATTTGAGCTGAGTCATGATGCTGACTTGCCTGCTGCCCACCGCTCGGCGCTCGCATACTCTCACAGTCCCCATTCCCCCACGAACACACACACACCCCTCCTCACCCCTTGCTTGTCAGGTGTTGTTTGAGCTGAGCCGCGATGCTGACTTGTCTCCTTCTGACCGCCCCCGGCGACTAGGCGTGGTGGAAACAGTGTTAATTCCCCACCGACAAGGGAGGGGCGGGGAAGGTGGGGAGGAGGACGAGGAGGACGAGGAGGGGAGTGGTAGTGAGGATGAGAAAGAGGGGGGTGGTATGAGCAGAACTGGGGGCATCAGCAGCAGTGGGAGCAGCAGCAGCAGTGGGAGCAGCAGCGAAAACAGCAGGAGAAGGAGCAAGGGTGGAAGGAACACTGTGTGTGTGTCGACCCAGCTGGGGTGTGCCATGGGATGCCAGTTCTGCTTCACAGCCAAGTAAGCTTTTCCTTGGTATGTAGGTGTATGGATGCAGCAACGAGATCAGCAGCCAAAGCAGCAGCAGCAGCAGCAGCAGCAGCAGCAGCAGCAGCAGCAGCAGCAGCAGCAGCAGCAGCAGCAGCAGCAGCAGCAGCAGCAGCAGCAGCAGCAGCAGCAGCAGCAGCAGCAGCAGCAGCAGCAGCAGCAGCAGCAGCAGCAGCAGCAGCAGCAGCAGCAGCAGCAGCAGCAGCAGCAGCAGCAGCAGCAGCAGCAGCAGCAGCAGCAGCAGGAGAAGGAATCAACACATTATTACCACTCGTCACTCCATCGCACCCATCCCATCATTTCCTCTCTAATAGGTCTGCAGCAAAACTTGAGAGCAGGGAAGAATTGTGAATCAGGTGAATCTGCTGATCCTCGTCATGTAAGCACTCTCATCCCTTGTCATTTCACCTTACTCATCCTAAAAAGCATAACCTCGTCACTACAGTCTTCACTGTAACACTCCCATCCCTTGTCATCTCACCATACTTATCCCGCAGAATGGATCTGCATCGCAACCTGACAGCAGGGGAGATAGTGGATCAGATGGTTCGGATTCAAGCCATCTATGCTATACCTTAGGGTTTCAGCACACCCTCCTTCCGTCCCTTGTTGTATTTGCACACCCATTCTTCGTAGGACGGGTCTGCAGCAAAATCTGACAGCAGGGGAGATCATGGGTCAGGTGGTTCGGATTCAATAAAGCCGTCCTTTTTGGCTTCAACACACTCCCTTTTCATATCAAACTTTCATCCCTTCTTGCCCCAACATGCTCTTCCCATGATTTTCGGATGGGGCTGCAGAGAAACCTGACAGCAGGGGAGATCGTGGATCAGGTGGTTCAGATTCAACCCACCCATACTATACCTTCGGATTTCAGCACACTCCCTCCTTTCGTCCCTCCTTTTTTCACAGGATGGGACTGCAGCGCAACTTGACAGCAGGGGAGGTCGTGGATCAGGTGGTTCAGATTCGCCGGCTCTTCACAGATGAAGTCGGCCCTGTCACCAACCTTGTCTTCATGGTGAGTAGAGCACCTCAGAGTACCCCACCGCAGAGCACAGCACAACTCTGCACCGCATTGAACTGCATAGTGCATCTGACAGACTGACAGCAGGGGAGATTGTGGATCAGGTGGTTCGGATTCGCCGGCTCTTCACAGAGGAAATGGGCCCCGTCACCAACCTTGTCTTCATGGTAGGTGGGTCATGATGTCAGCACCGCAGAGCATCGCGCTGCACCACCCAGTACCGCATAACACCGGACTGGACCGCAGAGCACAGTGCAACCTGACAGCAGGGGAGATCGTGGATCAGGTGGTTCAGATTCGCCGGCTCTTCACAGAGGAAATGGGCCCTGTCACCAACCTTGTCTTCATGGTAGGTGGGTGTGTTGTCAGCACCGCAATGCTCCACCAGGGCCGCACAGCACCGCACTGGACCGCAGAGCACAGTGCAACCTGACATGACTCTCAAATTCACCCCTGTTTGCAATCCCACTGCTTGCCTTCCCCTCCTCAGGGTATGGGCGAGCCTCTTCACAACCTGCCAGCAGTCCTCACAGCGTGCAACACTCTCCTTGACCCTTTAGGCGCCCACTGCTCGCCGGCTCGCACCACCGTCTCCACCTGTGGGCTTGTCCCTGAGATGCACGAGTTTTCCTCTCACTCCCAAGCTAGCCTCGCTCTCAGCCTGCACGCCACCACCGACGAGGTACGTGCTTCCATTGGGGCACAAACCGCTTGATTTCATTGGACGCGAAGGTTGGTTGTCCTGGCCTGCCTCCGCCTCTCCCCCACTGCTCGTGTGCTCGCACCACGGTGTCCACCTGTGGGCTCTTCCCTGAGATGCACGAGTTCTGCTCCCACTCCCATGCTAGCCTCGCCCTCAGCCTGCATGCCACCACCGACGAGGTAGGTACATGCTTCAGTGACAAAATTTTAAACCCTAAACCGTGGCTTGCTTTATTGCAAGTGAAGCTTAGTGCCAGCAACCCCTCTAAATCTTCTTCTTCCTTTCCCCCCTTGCCATACCATCCCCTCCTCCGTTCCTCACACCAGGTGCGCAGCAGCATCATGCCAATCAACAAGAAGCACAACCTCACCAGCCTCTTCGCGTGCTTGAGACACCCTTCTATCTTCCCCTCCCCTTCCCCTCGTCCGTCCCCCACCATCCCTTCCCCAGGTGCGCAGCAGCATCATGCCAATCAACAAGAAGCACAACCTCACCAGCCTCTTCGCCTGCTTGAGACAACTCTTCCCAGACGCAACAGCCCAGTCAGCACTTGATGCGGGGGAGGGAGGTGCGGGGTTGCGGCAACAGTCTAAGAAGCGCCATGTGTTTATCGAGTACCTGATGCTGGATGGGGTCAACGACAGGTATGCTCTGCAGCAAAAAACTGCTGATGTGATGGTATTACATGTTGATGGTAATACTGGAAGCGCCATGTGTTTATCGAGTATCTGATGCTGGATGGGGTCAACGACAGGTACGTCTTAGTGCCCTTTTGCTACAGGTGCGCCTTAGTGTAGAGCCTAGATGGGGGGTAGAAGCAGCAGCATTATGGGAAGCAGCATGTGTTTATCGAGTACCTGATGCTGGATGGGGTCAACGACAGGTACGCATGCAGCAGTTACCCTTACAGCACACCTATGTGTGTGCTGCTTGTGGAGCAAGGTGCAGGGTTGCAGCAGCAATCAAGGAAGCGGCATGTGTTCATCGAGTACCTGATGCTGGATGGGGTCAACGACAGGTATGCATGCAGCAGTTACCTTACCCTTGCCATGCTGATGGTGGTAGGGGAAGCGTCATGTGTTCAGCAAATACCGGATGCTGGATGGAGTCATCGACAGGTATGCAGTTGGGTGACCCTACTGGTGTTGATGGTGTAAGCGCTCTGGGATACAAACAAGCGCCTTGTGTTCATCGAATACCGGATGCTGGATGGAGTCATCTCTCCTTTCACACTTCCCCACTCTTTCCTCTTGCATCCTCACAGTATGGACAATGCGCATCGACTCGTAACCCTAACAGCGGGCATCGCACGCATGCAAAATTAATCTGATTGTTTTTAACCCACACCCAGGAACAGCACTGTAGCCATCCCCTTGCTTCACTCCCCCCTCTCTCCCTACCTCCTCTGGTATCCCCACACGTAGGTAGGCTTGTCGCACACGCTGGAAGACGCACGTAGGCTTGTCGCCCTAACAGAGGGCATCGCATGCAAGATCAACCTGATCGTTCAACCCACACCTAGGAACGGCACACCTTAATCCCTCTTTTCTCTTCCCATTGCTCGCCTCATTTGCATACAGTTTGGAAGATGCACGTAGGCTTGTCGCCCTAACAGAGGGCATCGCATGCAAGATCAACCTGATCGTCTTCAACCCACACCCGGGAACCGCACTGCAACCATCTCCACTCCCCCGCGTGCTGGCCTTCCAACATGAGCTCGTGCAAGGCGGGCGAAAGGCGTATCTGCGGCACAGTCGGGGGGACGATGAGATGGCAGCGTGTGGGCAGCTGGGGCAGGTGCCTCGGCTTACTGATAAGGCCAGGGCAGAAGAAGCAGCTGTAGTGTAGGGGTGTTCATTAGCTGTAAGGCACAGCCGGGGGGACGATGAGATGGCTGCATGTGGGCAGCTGGGGCAGGTGCCTCGGTTAACCAGGCAGAACCAGGCAGAGGTGGCTGCTGTAGCGTAGGGGCGTTAATTGGCTGTAACGTACAGGGGGGGGAACAATGAGATGGCGGCCTGTGGGCAGCTGGGACAGGTGCCTCGGCTTACTGACAAGAGTAAACAGGGCAAAGAAGCAGTTATGGCGTAGAGCCGCTGGCTGTCACGACTCACGACTCGTGTGGATGGGGAAGTGGATGAAAGGCAAGTGTTGTGGGGATGATGAGATGGCAGCGTGCGGACAGTTGGAGCAGTTGTACCTACCGGCTCACAAATAAGAGCAGGGCCACAGTTGTGGCATGGCGTTGTTGGGTGTCACGAGTATCGTTCATGAGTAAGCAGATGAGCTGCCTGGCACGTGCCCTGGCTTACCCAGAAGGGCAGGGTAGCAGCTGTGTGTGTGGGATATTGTAGAGTTAGCTGTTAGCTGGGGACAAATGGGTGCCATGCGTACAGGCAGCAAATGGGTGGCACGCTGGCAGCTGGGGCACATGCTCTGACTTACCTGCTGGGAAGAACAATGCGGAAGTAGCAGTGGTGGCATAGAGTTGCTGGCACTCAACTGGTTGCTACCAGTCTATGGGAAGAAAGCTTATGACATTGTTAGCGGGCCTCTGAATAACATTGTGAATCATTTACAGCAGGGTTGCTACCGTAACAACACCCTAATTTTTCAGAGCTGTTTGGTTCAGCATGGCAGGGCAGATGTGCAAATTAGACTTCAATTCATAGTGGAAGGGTGAACTCATCCCAAGCTGATAATCAGGGAGTCACGGTATTGATTCATATACGGTACTGACTACCACTACAACGGGATTTCGAGGGGACAAGGAGATATTTTCCCAAGACCGTAAGCCTGCGCAACAAGTCTGGCCCTGGTTGATTGATGAAACAACAAATGGAAGCATTACAAGAAAAAGCTTCAACAAGGTGGTGCATGAACAAACAGACTGGGCTAATGTAGACATACTACTTGAATATTTCCAACCCTTTCATATCATGAACGCCACGAGGACGCACAAAACCTTCAGCGTCAAATAATTTCCAACTCCCCTGAACATTCAGGTCCCGCAGCATCGTGAGCTTCGTGAAATTCTCAGGCAGGGACTCCAGGTGCTGGCAGTTATTCAGCCATATGAAGCGGAGCCTGGTTAGCCGCTCAAAGCCGGGCGGGAGCGAGCGGATCGGGCAAGAAGTTAGATCCAGGCGACACAGATAGGCGAGTTGGGTCAGAGAAGCAGGTAGATGCTCGAGGGAGTCACATTGGGTCAGGTTCAGGTCTTGCAGTCTGGACAAAGCACCCAGATTTTCAGGAAGAAGAGCCAGCTTGGGAGCACGGATCTCCAAAGTCATCAAACACGGAAGCTCCACAATACTTGCTGGAAGCTCCTTCAGCTCATCGGCATGGCGAATGTGCAGCTGCCGCAGCTGCATCATTGTGGATCCAAAACTCGGAAGACACTCCAACTTCGAAGCACTCACGATTCTCAAGGTGCGAAGCTGGGAAAGGTAAGTCAACGGGAATGGAAGCTCCTTCGTGTTGCTTGCCAATTCCAGGTACAGATGTTCCAGACGAGATAAGCTCTTGCTGACTGTCACGCCCCACACAACCTCAACCCGTCTCAGCTTCAACCTCCTGAGCTTTGGCAGCACGGTGACGTTCGGCAGAGGTGTGACGTTTATGCAGTTCCCAAGATCAAACACCTCGAGAGCTGGTGGCAGGAATTCAGGCAACCCCCTCACATTATCGCATCCATCAAATTCCAGCACTTGAAATCTTGAGAAAACATCCAGCCTGGATGGTATCGCACGTAGCCGTTCGCAGTGATTGACGGCCAGGATTTCAAGGCCAGAAATGCCCGTCAACGACTCTGGAAGCTCCTCAATTTGGCAGTAACTGATGAATAACTCCCGTAAGCTGCTTAGCCTCTCCATGTCCTCCGGAAGCTTAAGGTACGAGCAGCTTTTAAGTTCTAACCGCGTCAGTGAAGAGAGTTGGGTGAAAGAGGATGGAAGCAGCTGCTGCTTCTCACTGCCATGCAGGTAGAAGGTCTGGAGATTTTTTAACCCTCCGATATCCGCTGGCAGCATGATCTGAGGTAGCCACACGAGCCACAGCGTCTTGACAGCTGGCAAGCAGCAAAATCCTGCTGGCAACTCGTCAATCGCGTAGCAGCGAGTTAGAAACAGCGTCTCCAGAGACCGAAGATGGCACAGTGATTCAGGGAGGTCCGAAAGAGGAAGTTTATCCAGAATCAAAGTCTTGAGAGCAGTCAGGCGTCCGAAGTTTCCAGGAAGGCTGAAAAACGTTTCACAGCAAGAAATACTTAAGTAATCGAGACGAGTTAAGGAGAGAAATTCTTCAGGCAGCTGTTCAAGAGTAGAGCATCGATCGAGAGTTAGCTTGCGAAGACATGGGAACAGTGTGGCAATGTCGTTAGGAAGACGCTCGAGTTCGATGCAGTTGGTGATCCGTAACTCCTCGAGACTGGTGCATGTCGAGCCATTAGGAAACAGTAGGTCGAATCGGGGACAGCTATCCGAAAATCTCAGTGTCTTCAGAAAATGAATCTGTGCTATGGAGAACGGATCATAGGGTGGCGAGCAGAATGCATCCGGAACCGAAAGGCTGGTTAGGCTACGTAACCCAGTGAGCTTCATGAGATCCTGATACCGCATTCCTGGGGTGCTAATGTCTAGAACGGTGAGTGAAGAAAGGTTTACAATATCGTGACGGTCAAATAGCGAGATACCCTGACGCAGAGAGAGAGTACGGAGGCGACTCAGTTGAAAAAAAGATGCTGGCAGAATCGCACCGTCACAGTGGAGCTGTAGCTTTTCCAGTTGATTGCACTGACGGAAAAAGTTATCCAGACAATCAGTGCTTAGCGACTGCACACCAACCCTATCTTCGACGCCGTACTCTTCTTCCGTGTCCATGGTTAGGCGAAGGATGGCCAACTTGGGACACGACGAGGCGAGATGATTCATAAACTCGTCGTCAATCGTTCCCACACCGGCACCGCTGATGTCAAGATGAGTGAGGTTCGGGAAACGAGTGATAGCGGTCGAGATCTCCACGCGGGAAACTAAAGGGTTGTCTTTGACAACAAGTGAGGAGACGTAACGCCGAGCAAGATGACGCCAGCGACGGCAGATTGAAGCGATGCGAAGATTAAAGGCGACGTCTGCGGAGACAGGAGGGGTCGGCAAAGGACCCTCATTGCGTTTCGGCGTTTCGCGTCTCGTATCAAGGTAATTCGGCCTACTCCACCAGAACTCCCACAGATCGGCGCTGGTAGGTTGGTCAGGAATTGGCTGATCGCTGTGCCATAAAATCTTCGCTAGAAGTTCGTCAGATAGATCATCAATCCGAGTGTGAGACATCTCGAAACGCTGAGCACGAGGATAACGGTCGGCGGCAGCAAGGAAAACAATCAAGCGATCTAAGCGCAAGACATGAAGTATTTGGCTTAGTAAAGAAACATGTGAGAGAGCACTAGAGGTGAGAAGCACGCTAGCTGTATTCCTAGATGTCTTGAAATTCTAGAAGTCTTCTGTAGGCACAGTGCGTAGACTTGGTACTGTAGCAGAATTCCTAGATCTACCCAGGGCAGACCCACCCAGTGCTGCTACACTACGAAGATCGGAGGACCCAGCGAAGTTGACGGTTGATGAGGGATCTCTCTCGATGTTGCATTGCAACGCTGTTTTTCGGTGTCATCGTTCGGGTCACGTAAGTAGCACCTTACCTGTATAAATGACACGATAAACGTGTACTAATCAAGTTCTTACAAACAAGAATTACTGCAACAAATAGCGTCAACAGGGTGATGCATCAACAAACAGCCAGGCACAAGGCAGATGTATGCATTACCGGTGAATTAGAATTTTCAACCCTTTCATCAAATGTACGCCACGAGGACGCACAAAACCCTCAGCATCAATTAAATTAGAGCACCCCTCAACAAAAAGGTCCCGCAGCATCTTGAGCCTGGTGAAATTCTCAGGCAGAAATTCCAGCTGCTTGCAGTCCTTCAGGTTCAGTGAATGGAGCCTGGCCAACCGCTCAAACCCAGGCGGCAGTGAGCGGATCAGGCTGTCTTCAACATCCAGGCGACAAAGAAAGGCGTGCTGGGTCACAGAAGCAGGCAGATGCTCTAGGGCAGAGCATTTGGATAGGTTCAGCTCTTGCAGCCTGGATAAAGCACCCAAATTTTCGGGAAGAGAAACCAGCTTCACAGCATGAACCTCCAGAGTCGTTAAACGCGGAAGCTCCACAATGCTTGCTGGAAGCTCTTTCAGCTCATTCGCATCGTGAATACGCAGCTGCCGCAGCTGCACCATCGAGGACCCAAAACTCGGGAGCGCCTCCACCCTCAAGGCACTCCCGATTGTTAAAGTACGAAGCTGAGAAAGGTAGACCAATGGGAATGGAAGCTTCCTAGCGTTACACGATTCCAGATACAGATGCTCCAGACGGGATAAGCCCTTGCTGGCTGTCACGGCCCAAGCAACCTCAACCAGTTTCAGGTTCAGCGTCCTCAGCTTTGGCAGCACGGTGACATTCGGCAGAGGTGTGACGTTTTTGGAGTTCCCGAGGTTGAGCTCCGCGAGAGATTGTGGCAGGAATTCAGGCAATTCTGTCAGGTTCTCACATTCCTCAAACTTCAGCAATTCAAGCCTTGAGAAAGCATCCAGCCTGGATGGTACAGCTCGTAGCCTTGCGCAGCAATTAACGGCCAGAATTTCAAGGCCGGAAATGCCCGTCAGCGACTCTGGAAGCTCCTCAATTTGGCAGGAAATGATGAACAATTCTCGTAAGCTGCTTAGCTTCTCAATGTCCTCCGGAAGTTTAAGAAGCGAGCAGCTATTAAGCTCCAACCGCGTCAAGGAAGAGAGTTGAGTGAAAGAGGATGGAAGCAGCAGCTGCGTCTGGTTGTCATTCAGGTAAAAAGTCTGGAGCTGTTTGAACCCTCCGATACCCGCTGGAAGCATGATCTGAGGCAACTCCACGAGCCACAGCGTCTTGACAGCTGTCAGGCAGCAGAATCCCATCGGCAATTCGCGAATCTCCGGGCAACGAATCAAAAACAGCGTTTCCAGTGACGAGAGACGACACAGGGATTGAGGGAGATCCGCGAGTGGAAGGTGCTCCAGAACCAAAGTCTTTAGGGCAGTCAGGTATCCGAAGTCTTCGGGCAGGCTGAATAACCCTTTACAGCTGGAAATCTTTAGAAGTTCGAGACGGGTTAAGGAGAGAAGCTCAAGCTCTTCAGGCAGCTGCGCATGGATAGAGTATTGAATCAGACTTAGAATGCGAAGAGATGGCAACAGAGTGGCAACGTCGTTAGGAAAACGCTCGAGTTCCCCACAGTTGGTGATCCATAGCTCTTCGAGAGTGGTGCATGGCGAGACGGAAGGAAACAATCGGTCGAATCGAGGACAGCTATCCAAGAATTTCAGAGATGTCAGGAAAGGAAACTGTGCGATGGAAAAAGAATAATCGGTAGAATCGTTACGATAGCAGAATGCATCCGGGAGTGAAAGGCTAGTTAATCCACTTAAGGCAGTGAGGTTGACGAGCTCCTGAAAAACCATTCCTGTAACGGAAATGTCCAGAACGGTCAGTGAAGATAACTCTACGAGTTCGTGGCGTCTACATAACGAGTCACTCTGAAAAAGAGCAAGAGTGTGGAGACGGCTTAGTTGAAAAAACGATGCTGGCAGGACCGCCTCGTCATGAACACAGGAGAGATTAAGCTGTTCCAGTAGAGTGCACCGCCGGAATAGAGCATCCAGAGAAGATGTAGCTAGAGGCTGCACATCCTCCCTATCACCACCCGCGTACAATTCTTCCGAGTCGCTGGATAGGCCAAGGATTTTCAAGTTTGGACATGACGAGGCGAGGTGATTCAGGAACTCGTCGTTTATGGTTCCTAATAAGACATTGCTGATTTCAAGATGAGTGAGGTTCGGGAAGCAAGTGATCGCGGTCATAATCTCCACGCGGGACACTAAAAGGTCGTCCTTAAGGCTGCCTTTAACAACAAGTGTGGAGACGTAGCGCCGAGCGAGACGGCGCCAGCGGCGGCAGACTGAAGCGATGAGCAGACTAAAGGCGGCGTTTGCGGAGACAGGAAGGGCCGGTAAAGGACCCTCATTGGGTCTCAGCGTTTCGCGTTTTGAATGGAGGTATCTCGGCCTAGTACCACAGCAGGTCTACAGAGCGTCGATGTTAGGTTGGTAACAAATTGGCTGATCGCTCTGCCAGAATATCTTCACTAGAAGCTCGTCAGATAAATCGTTGATCTGTGTGCGAGACATCTCTAAACTCAAGACCACAAAAATAGTCGGCAAAGACTAGGAAAGAATGAGCAGCTGGGTGAACGAAAGCGGCTTGTTATGAAATACAGAGGAAGAACCCAAGACCTGAAACCCGCGCTCGCTGCATCTATGGCTGACTAGTGTTTCCTGATCTGACTCTGCTTTCAGTTGACTGGTACCAGACTGTACGGTGGAGATTTGAACTCAAGCTGGCATTCGTCATTGTGCGAACTTGAATCTTGTTACCAAGTCACGAAAGCCACCTGTCGCTCGTCTCGCGAGATGTTGCAAATTCTGCATTCTGGTTGTTCTAGCTGCTGGTTGGCGAACCTCTGCGTTTCGCGGAACATATGCTACACTGTCCACACCTCCAATAAATCAAGGGATCCACAACTGCCTGAGGCAGCTACATCTGAAGTCCAAATCTACAGTAAGACAATCTTCCAGTCCTCCGTTGGAAAGTGTCAAGTTGAGCCTTTATATGTGTTACATTTCCACATCCTTATGCCTACATCATCCACATTACACTATTTGTTGCAGCAGACACTGCACTGGCCGGCTCATCATGGCACACGCAGCACAAAACGACTGAGCGCCCAGCCCACTTTTTCATGTGAGCCATACTTGTCGTCAACATGCTGAAGGCCTCGCTCCCTACCACAGTCTGGTTCAACTCATGAACCTTGAGCTCATAGCCTGAACAACAGCAATACTTTCCCTACAGACTTCCAGACAATGAAAACCAATGAGGATACCAATGAAATGACATGTCACACAAACCCAAGCTGCAATGATGGCGACGGAAATGAAATGACGACGAAAATGCAATGATGAAGATATGACCTAGCACGCAGCACATGATGACAATGAAATGCACCTTCACCCACTGCAGTCAGTCACTTACGACAACCCAGGCACGCCCTTACGACGGAGCCACCACTGCAACCCCCCCTCCTTGCCCCCCTCCTCTACTCCCTCCTGTCCGTCCCTGTCCCCCTCTTCTCCCCCTCCCCCCTCCACTTGACGACCACCCCCCCTGCCCAGCCCCACTCACCCCATCACCTCCCCCTTGCCCCTGCAACCCCTGCATTCCCTGTAACCCCTGATTCTGCTGAAACCCTTGCCCCTGAATGCCCTGCCCAGTCAACCCCTGACCCTGCTGCATTCCCTGCCCTTGCCATTGTCCCTGCCCCTGCACCTGCTGCTGCTGACCCCGAGAGCCGAACCCTGATCCCCCACGCCCACCCCTGTTGCTCACGACACCAACACTCCCACCAGCACCAGCACCAACAGTAGTACCAACACCAGTCCCACCAAGGCCAGCGCTAGCAGCAGCAGCACCACCACCACCAAAGTTGCTGCTGCCGTCGCGGAATTGGCGATCCGAGCCACCCCGACCGCCTCCTGTACGACGATATGAGCCTGGGGGAAGGGAAGGAGGATGGGGGATGGAGGGGTGGGAGAGATGAGAACGGGGATGACTCGTCAAGCTCCTAGAGAAGCGCTGCAGCCGCCAGCACAAACACCAACACGCCGACACCAGCACCAACACCAGCCCCACCAACCCCAGCGCCAGCAGCACCACCACCACCAAAGTTGCTGCTGCCGTCGCGGAATTGGCGATCCGAGCCGCCTCGGCCCCCTCCTGTGCGACGGTAGGAGCCTGGGGGGGTGGGGAGGGGATGAGGGATGGTTGAGTGGGGGAGACGAGAATGGGGATGATTCGTCAAGCTCTTAGAGAAGCACTGCTGCCGTTGTGAAATTGGCAATCCGAGTGCCTCCCGTGCGATGGTGCGAATAGCCCAGCATGATATACTGCTTCTGCCCATGGGCAACCAGATGACACGCCATAACGGCTTGCCATGTTTCGTTTGTTGGTTTGTTTTGTTTACTTTTTTGTCTATTTTTATTCCAAGGGGCTCACCTCGGCCGGCGCTTGTAGCCTTCTTCTCCTCGATCTTCACCTGGAAATTCCCCACCATGATCGTTTGTTTCTGCCAATGGGCAAACACACGAAGGGTCGGGCAATGAGATTCAGGGTTTAAGGGGAGAACCAAACGGCTCACCACTCAGAAGCTTCCACATGCGTGCCAACAGCTTTTGGTTCCGCAATCCCTGTGTTTTCAAACACGAGGCACACAGCCAAAACCCGAAAACTTGCTACTGACCTCTACTGCTGCTTGTGCTGCTGCAGGTTCTTCAAACTCCACAAACGCGTACACAGTGGCAGGGTTGTTGGCCTGATGGAAAAAGGGCACGAAGGGAATGGCAAAACAAGAACGTTTGAATCTCTACTGCTGCTTGTGCTGCTGCAGGCTCCTCAATCTCCACAAACGCGTACACAGTAGCGGGGTTGTTGGCCTGATGAGGAATGAAAGAAACGAGAATGGAAATGTTTTGAGCCGACTCAATACTGCCGCGGCTTTCTCAAACTCCACTAACGCGTACACTATAGCGGGGTTGTCGGATCGATGCGGAAAGGGCAAAGGAAACAATCAACGTGACAACGAGCGAGCCCAAAGACAGAACAAAGGAAGCAGGAAGAGTCAACTCATAGGTGGATGGATTAGAGAGGGGAAGCACAGAAGGGAGACGAATAAGTTGACAGCTAGAAAAAAACATTGTTGCCATACAGGGTAATGAGAAAATCACTCAGTGTGTGAGAATATATGGAGTTTCAGGGTGATAATTATGCAGATAGGAAACCGTACCTTGTTACCCCGAATTTGGATACGATCTGCTTTCACTGCTCCAAACTGGCTGAAGTGCTCTGCAATCTCCTTGGCAGTTATGCGCACTGGCAGGTTGCGCACAAACACAGCGCGCCCCTCCCCTGCAGCTGTAAGACATGCATAGCGCACATGGAGGGGGGAGACGGAGGGAATGCGTTGAGAACCAAACTGATCAGCAATCTCCCCGACAACATACCACACTGGCAGGTCGCATACAGACAGCATTGCCAGTGAAAGCAACACGGCCCAGCCCAGCCTTCCAAGAGACTTTCGCGATGACTCAAAAGTCACACCAGGTGGCCAAGCAGGGGCAGAGCAGCAGCAATAAATGGATCAACATAGACCAACCAAAGCAAGCACGGTCCAGCCCACACTTCCCCGCAGCTGAGGCAAACGGAGCAAGCAGAGGGGGGACAGCAGCACATAGGGTCAACAGAAGTCCAAGAGATGTGAGCACAACCCAGCCCTCAACTACTCAACTACTCTTACATCGACTCCCACCACTCTCCCTTATGGTCACGGGGCATTGCATTCAACATCGTTCCTACCGTCGTCAGCAGCATTGGTATCCTCTCCAGCCCCAGCAGCACCACCAGCAGCAGCGAACCCAGGAGCAGGGGCCAGCAAACCAGCAGAGAACCCAGCTGCTGCCCCAGAAGGTGCTGCCTCTTGCGCCCCAAACGCCCCAGCGCCCCCAACTGCTGCGGCAGGGAGCAGCGGCGGCTGCCTGTGCGCAACCGCCCCCAGAGGCGCAGCTGCGGGGGGAGTGGCGGAGGCAGGCGCGGAAGCTGCGCCCGCGGAGGCGCCCGCGGGTGAGGCAGCTGCGGATTGCGCGCGCATGGCTTGCAGCTGTAGAGTGGGATGGGGGAGGGGTGTGTGGGGCGGGGAAGTGAGGCTCAAGAAAGGGTTGGACGGGTTGGCTCGTGGGCTAGGTTGGATACGAGGAAGGGGGTTAGAAAGGGTTTAGCAACACCCTCATTGTCGAATTCACAAAAGGCTGGCTTCCAGTGAGGATGGGGAGTCATTGTGACGGGGAATAACTCCGCGAATCGCGGCGAGTCTAACATTGCGCAACTGAAATGTGACGTGGGGTCCGGGACAAAACCAACCAGCATGATCACTCATGATGGAGGCGTAAGGGAGTCCTAAGATGTTGCAACACCGGCATGATCACTCACAATAGAGGCGTAAGACTTCTTAGGAGCCGGTTCATCTGACGCAGACGCTGTAGCAGGTGCCGCCGCTACAGCTGGTGCTGCCGCCGCCGCTGGGGCTACAGCTGCTACAGGCGCTACCGCTGCTGCAGGCGGTGCTGCTGCTGCTGCTGCTGCGGGTGCCGCTGCTACAGCTGGTGCTACAGCTGACGCAGCTGGTGCTCCCGCAGCCGCTTCCCCGCCCCCAGGACTCAGAAGGACAGCAGGCGCGGAAACTGGGGCGGAAGACGCAACCGAAGGTTCCGCCTTCTCCCCTTCCGCCGCTGCTGCGGCGGCTCCCGCTCCCGCCCCTTGACCCTGCCCTTGGCCCTGATTCACGGAAACGACCGACTCAGGCACTTCCCGAATCACCTGCACTTCCTCCCCCGCTGCGCCGTCGTCCGCGGCCGGGGGAGCCCCGGCTCCGCCGGCTGCGGCGCTGGGGGCGGCGGCAGGCGCGGACGCTTGAGACGCCTCGTCGACCGTTACATCTCGCACCGCATGATCCACAGATGTAACCTCCCGGGACCCTGCAGCTTGATCCGCCGCGTGCCCGTTCACCAAACCTGCCTGAGACCCACTCCCGGCAGCGGCAGCTGTAGCTGATCCAACGGCAGACGCGGCCGACTTGGTCCCCCCGCCGACGGCGTGTTTAACTACGGCGGGCGGCTGCGGCGGCGGCGCGTCCTCTAGAAACCGGAAGATGTCGTTAAGGACGTAGAAGCCGTTCTGCTGCGGCGCGAGGAAGAAGCTCTGGACGAAGCCGCGTCGCTCGCTGCTGCTGTAACAGTGCGCGCCGGTTACCACCACGAGAACGCCGCCGGAGAGAGATTCCTGGCAGTCCACGGATTTGATTTCCGCCTTGACTTCGCATGAATCCAATGACATCACCTTGGTGTGGATACCCTGAACTCGCCATGTGCAAATGCGAGAAAGCCAAACCCATATGCAGGCCACACAAGCCATACGAAGCATCCAAGCCAAGCCACACCAACCCATTCATGCCATACAGATCATGAACACCACACAAGCATATGATCCGCGAACCCCATACACACACGCCCACACATGCGTGAGGCATATGAGTAACCAGTTTTCCCACATTGACAGTTAACGAGAACGAATTGCTCGTTTTCAGGAAAAAAAAAAAAAAAAACAACGCAAGTTCCTTCAAGGTTGGTACACTAGAGCATTCCTTCCTGTACCTTCACACTGATGCAGTACTCTCATTACCTTGCTGCTACTAACGCTTCTCCAACCCAAGTGCTTGTGACGAACAGATCTCATGACTATTCCACGAATTCCATCGCACCTGCGTATTCATCACCGACCTTTTAATCCCGACGGATTCCGTCCGGCGATACGCACCTGCATGGTCGTCACGGTTTCCCCGGGAATGCCGAGGCGCTCGGCGCGCGTGAATTTGCTCTCGTCGACGTAGAACTTGTGCACGTCGTGCGGTTGCGTGTGCATCACGGTATAGTACTGCGACGCGAACGCCTTGCCGACCTGCGAGTGAGGGGAGATCAGGGAAACGGCGTTGCTTGAGACGCCTTGAAAGTCCGACGCAAGCGCCTCGCTGACTTGGAGATGGGAAAAACTCTGTAGATTACCGTAAGAATTAAATCCTCTAAACCAGATCCATACTAGAGGACCGGCGGATCAAAAGGGCGAACCACACCGGAGCTTTACTAGCGACGCGTTAAGGGTAAGATCGATATCGTCGTTGTAAAAGCTGGATTCGAGCACGGATCTTAAGGAGCGTACTTAATTGACCTTGAGATAACACCCGGATCCTGATCGTTCGCGAGTCATGTCCTACGGCTTACCTCGAAAGCCCAGTCGGCCGTGGCTGCAGGGCCAGAAGCGGCAGGACCAGAGCCATCGGACACCATGTTGCCAGCGTAAGTATTAATTTAACTACTGATAGGAAAAAAAAAGGTCTAAAGTACAACTCCCGACGTTGCGGAGCCTACAACAGCAGCAGCTAAAGGGATCAGGGTACAAGGAGCCTAGAGATCAGGACAGCAATCTGAAACAAGGGAGGAAGGAAAACGGAAACAGAAGCTGAAACCTGCAAGTGACCTAGGGAATTTCAGATCAGCAGAAAAACTAGATTCAGGGAAAGTGAAAACCGAGATTCAGGGAATAGATAGTTCGTTGGCTGGCTGGCAGTGGCAGCACGAGGTGAATGCGTGCTGAGCGGGCTCCAGCTCAGACGAAACTCGCCAGCTTCCAGAAACGACGGTTTGCGGTGGAAGTGCGGTAGTGTGCATTCGCAAACAGGGTCGGCGAGAATGTTACCGAGTTTCGCAAATAGGAGGTAGTTGCTGTGGATTAGATCTGAGTCGTTCGTCTTGGGCTTGGGTCGTAGGCGTCGCTGAGAGGCGAATGATTCGTTTGAGGATGGTTTTGTGTATAATGTGCAACACTTTCCATCATACGAAAGTCCGCCAAGTATAGACCTACTGGAATTATAAGCATTAATGAACTCCCATTGGCTGGAAAACAAGCATAATCTTTCTTAAATAAGGGACGAGAAAAAAAAATGGAAAAAAAAGTGAAAGAAAACCAAGGGCGTGTTCCTGCAAATCGGTACAACTAAATGGATGTTAGCCTCTGAATCCATCTAGTGTGACATCATAGGACAGCCCGTACTGAACTGAAGGAAAACGCCCTGAGTCATGATGATGCCATCGCGAGCGCATTATTGGTCTCTGGTTGTCTTCTGGACCAAGGCCATGCTTTGGAGCGTGTCTGTGAGGCCCTGTAGTACCAACAAACCCATGCGTCATATGGAAAACAGGGGGTTAATTTAGCCACACAAAAAACCAAACAAGCAAACAAGAACAACAAACAAACAAACAAAACGAACAAAAACAAAATGAAACAAACAAAAGAAACAAACAGTATCAAGACACCACACATCCTCCCAGTTGCAGCTTACCTGCAATTCTCGGATGTATGCTGCTGTGGCTTCTAGCACGGATGCCATGTCGGTTGGAGCCGACACCGGAGCAGGGACCAGCAACCGAAGGGTTTCCACTGCATCACTGGAGATAAACAGAAGGAAAGGAGAGAGGAAAAGGCAAGTGGGGATTCGAGAAGAGGCTTGTTTGATGAAGGGAGAAGCAAGGGAGAATGAATTCAACAGATAATGTACGCTATAAATTCCGGAGGCTTTCAGTATGAGAATAGTATCAGGTCGCATTCGGCTCACCTCACTCGCTTGCGGCGAGATCGCTCAGATCTGATACGATTGCGTCTCCTCCTCACGGGAACCCCTTTCACGCCTGTCTCCTTGCTCCCACTCCTTTCCAGTTCTTTCCCCTCAGCAACAGCAGCCTGCTCACAGCCAACAGCACCAGAGCTAGGCTGCGTTACAGTCACACAACCGGTAGTCACACCTCCCACACTAACAACCCCCACACTCCCTCCTCCCACAACCCCTCCTCCCACACTCCCACCTCCCACAATCCCTCCTCCCACACTCCCACCTCCCACACTCCCCCCTCCCACACTCCCACCTTCCACACTCCCACCCCCCACACTCCCATCTCCCACACTCCCCTCTCCAACCATCCCACCCCCCATGGCAATCCGCTCCCTCACAGCCCTGGCAAACTCCTCAAGACCCTGGAGAGGAGGTGCTGTGAATGCCACCCTCCCTGGATGTTCCTTGCAGGTGAGCATGCTATCACTTCCGCCCCCCTCCCCCTCCCTCACAGCCCTTGCAAACTCCTCAAGACCCTGGGGAGGAGGGGCTGTGGATACCACCCCCCCTCCATTCACAGAGAATTGCTGCTCCTTGCAGGTGGGCATACCACCCCTTCCGCCCCCTTCCTCCCTCACAGCCCTTGCAAACTCCTCAAGACCCTGGGGAGGACGGGCTGTTGATACCACCCCCCCTCCATTCACAGAGAATTGCTGCTCCTTGCAGGTGGGCATACCACCCCTTCCGCCCCCTTCCTCCCTCACAGCCCTTGCAAACTCCTCAAGACCCTGGGGAGGACGGGCTGTGGATACCACCCCCCCTCCATTCACAGAGAATTGCTGCTCCTTGCAGGTGGGCATACCACCCCTTCCGCCCCCTTCCTCCCTCACAGCCCTTGCAAACTCCTCAAGACCCTGGGGAGGACGGGCTGTTGATACCACCCCCCCTCCATTCACAGAGAATTGCTGCTCCTTGCAGGTGGGCATACCACCCCTTCCGCCCCCTTCCTCCCTCACAGCCCTTGCAAACTCCTCAAGACCCTGGGGAGGACGGGCTGTGGATACCACCCCCCCTCCATTCACAGAGAATTGCTGCTCCTTGCAGGTGGGCATACCACCCCTTCCGCCCCCTTCCTCCCTCACAGCCCTTGCAAACTCCTCAAGACCCTGGGGAGGACGGGCTGTTGATACCACCCCCCCTCCATTCACAGAGAATTGCTGCTCCTTGCAGGTGAGCATACCACCCCTTCCGCCCCCCTCCCCCTCCCTCACAGCCCTCGCAAACTCTTCAAGACCCTGGAGCGCAGGTGTTGCTGACGGCATCCCCCCTGAATGCGACAAGAAACTGTGTTCCTTGCAGGTGAGCATACCACCAGTTCCGCCCTCCCCCTCCCTCCTTCTCTTGCTGCGGCTTTCGCTGCTGATGCTGCTCCTGCTGTTGCTGCTGCTGGTACGGCTGCTGTTGTGGCTGCTGCTGCTCATGCCTCGGCTATCACACGTCTCTACGGAAGTGGCTGCTGCGACTGGTGTAGCTGCTACCGCAGTACTGGATAGTGGGGATGGCATTGGTGATACAACCGGGCTGGTTAGTCGGGCTGGCGTTGCTGCTACAGCCGGGCTGGCTGGTGGGGTTGCCGTTGCGGCTACAGCCAGATGTGATGGCGGGGATGCTGCAGCGGCTACAGCCGGGCTTGGTGTTGTGGTTGCCACTGCTACAGCTAGAGGCAGATTGGCTGGCAGGGATAGTGTCGCTGCTACAGCCGGGCTCGCTGATGTGGTTGCCATTGCTGCTACAGTCATATTTGCTGGCAGGGAAGGTCGCGCGGGGAAAGATCGGGCGGGTGGTTTGGGGTTGGCACAGGGGGTTGGTGGTGTGGGGAGAGCAAAGCTAAGCGGAGGCGCAGGGAAATACTGGGGCAGTTTTTGAGGCGCCTCAAAACTAGGTGGTGTGGTTAGAGCAAAGCTAAGTGGAGGTGCAGGGACGCACTGCGGCAGACTCAAGAGTGGAGATATTTTAGTCGACTCAACAGTCACCTCGTTACTAAGTTGGGGTGAAGGGACGCACTGGGGTAGACACAGAAGTGGAACTGGTACGGGCCGGCACGGGTCGGGCAGAGTGGGTTGTCCCCACCTGCCAGGTGGAGTGTGGGCAAGACGAAGCGGTTGAGAGAGGTGTGGAGCGGCTGGGCTATTGGGCGAGAAGGGTACTGCTTCTGCGGGTGCTGATGCTGGGTGAGGCGCGGATGAGGGGAGAGGTGTTAATGGGGGGGGAGGTGCGGATGGGGGGAGAGGTGCGGATGGGGGGAGAGGTGCGGACAGGGGAAGAGGTGCGGACAGGGGGAGAGGTTCGGATAGTTCCGAGGCTGCTGCCGGCTGTAGCAGGGCGGACAGGCAGCTACGTTCATGTGGGGGGGAGACAGCAGTAGGTGAGACAGCAGCAGGTGAGACGGCAGCAGGTGAGACAGCAGCACCAGGGAAGGCTGAAGCAGCAGAAGTGAAGGTGGTATCTGTGGGGCACGTGGACTCCACACATGCAAACGTTGACCTGGCATGGTCAAATGCCGCTGCCACGTCAGCAAGAATCTCCCCAGACAGCCGGAACGGCTCCAGCATTGCCTCGTCATACGGGGGAATTTTCCCTGAGAAATTATACCCTGGGTCCTTAAAAGGGGGTATTTCCCCTGCACCGCTGGAGGGGTTGGGAAGGTTGATCATGGTGTTTTCAAAGTGAGGCATTTCCCAATCCGAGCGGCTGTTGAAGGGAGGATCTCTAGGAGAAGTTCTCGCAAAATGCGGTAAATCTGAGCCGTTCATCGCCCCAGAGTTGCTCCCGTCCGTCGGATCGGTCATCAAAAGATCCTGACCGTCCATTATTGCACCGCGAGCGGACTCGGTAGACCTAAAAATCGACCTTCTCTGTAGAAATCAACAACCGAGCCAACTGACTTAATTAAAGAGTTTCAATCAAGGCAACGTATATTAGGAAGAGATGACGTATAGTAGACGCGACACGGGTAGGGAGAGGTATGAAGCGAGACGCGCCAACGGAGATCGTTAGTTTTCCAGAAGCCTCATAAGGATTTTTCGGATGCCAAGTGTCGCTTCGATTTCTGGGCGTAATTCATAGAAAAGACACATTGCGGTTTCGACGCGAGTGTACAACGACGAAATCTCCAAGTTCGTCCGGAGCGAGATACTTCTAACTGTAGTTCCCTGGTTGGACTTATTGGTGAAGTCGATATTACACAGCCGCGCCGCGAAGTGGCGGTGCAATGAAAGGGGGTACACGTGGAAGGCGAGGAATCCATTGCTGCTGAGAGCCAAGGCTAGATACTGAAGAGCCAAGGCTTGCGTGACTTGCGGCAGCGAGACGCGTCTTGTGTTGGGCTAGATCGCAACAGTATTGCTAGCTTGCTAGTATGGCGTTCCTGAGATGGGGCCCCCTGAGATAGTGCTCCTCTCAGATTTTTTGTCAAATTATGTAACTAGGTTCAGTGTCACGTCAATATCATTCGATTCGGTCGAGTACGCTTCTTTGTGTTTCGCTATACGTTTTAAAGGATTCTGTAGCGGTTACAGAGGTTTTAGAAAATAGGTTTTTTACTTGGAAATGAGTGACGATGCTCAGTCAGAGTTCGTCGTTGATAGTTACGAAGGGTCGGCAGTCTCGCGAATGTCGTCTGGAGGTTGCTTTTCGTTTGTTCCTTGAAAGGTTGTTTTCGGCAAACGAGTGTGGCAACCACACGCCATGCCACCGACGTCGAATCACATCCACCGACCGACAAAGTTGGCAAGTTCACAACCAATAGGATTCACAGCGAGAAAATGTTTGAACAAGCACCGAACAGAGGAGCTTCGCCACTGGACGATACGATACATTTCTCAAACACAAGTGCCAAAATCACATGGATCTTGCAACGTTTTGTACCTTCCTAACTTCGTCATTACAGTTTTTCACTCCTATAAGAGTTGGCTATAAGTCAGTATCCTCGTTCATACGGGCTCCCACCCTATAATTCTGTAGTTTCTCATCCTAATTGGTTGCCTTTTCATCCCTCCTTTCACCTCCTGCTCCGCCTTCACTCCCCTTCCCATCTTCTCCACCTCCTTGCTTCTCCATCGCATCGTCGCTCCCTCTGCCACTCTCCCTATCCCCCTCTCCCTCCTCTAAATTCCTCCCACTCCCCGTTTCTCCCTCCTTACTCTCCTCTTGCACCCCACTCTTGTTGTTCACCTTCCCCACCCTATCATCCACACTATCCCCCTCCCCTTTCACTTTCCCGTCCATCTCCTCCCTCCCTTCCTTCACCTTCTTCCCTTCTTCCTCCTCCATCTCACCATTCTTCTCATCCTCCTCCCCCTCTCCCTCCTCCCCACCCTCTAGTTTCGCATCCTTACCTTCACCCTCCTCTTTCTCATCCTTCACTATTCCACTCTCCTTACTATCACCATCCCCCTTCTCCTTCTTAAGTTCTCTCCCTTCCTTTCTCCCCTCCTCCTTTTTCTCCTTCCCCTCCCCCTCCTTCCCCTCCTTCTCCTCCTTCCCTTCCCCCTCCCCCTCCTCCTTCCCCTCCCCCTCCCCAAGGTCAGCTTCGTACTCCGAAGCAGGAATGTGGGGGGCAGCTGAAAAAACTCCCGGCACAGGCCGGCTGCCCCAGTCCTTGGGCAGGTGCAAAAATTTCGGCCCGAAGTTGAAGCGCACGGTGGCGCCCTCTGATTGGTCGGGCAGCGTGAAGAGGGAAGCTGCCGGGAAGTATCTGCCCGCTGGAATGTCTTTAAACGCCGTGCCCAGACACACCCCGTTGCGAAAGAACGCGATTTCACTCCCTGTGGAAGGGTGGTGGAAAAAATATTACAGTTATATTTTATTGGATTAAGAAGCATGCACTTATGCACGCTCCCTCCCCCTTCCACATCACCAATGACCACGGCTTGTCAGCAGCGCACAAGAAAGAATAAAAAAGCAAACCATGAACAAACCACAACGCGTACCAGGTATGGGAGGTCCTCCTTTTGCACTCTCCTCACTCTCCACGTAGCACGGCTGCCCCTTCCACGCACTTACAACTCACGTACCATGCGGTGATAAGAGAGGAACACTTACCAGGCACGGGAGGCCCGCCAGCAGCGCTCTCCTCACTCTCCACGTAGCACGGCTGCCCCTTCCACGTCACCAGCGGCCGCGGCTTGGGCGCCAGCCTGGCGCCACCTGGCAGGCTGATGTAGCAGCCAATCACGTCGCCCTCCACGTACCCCGGCGCCCGCTTGCTTATGTCTCCCGCAGGGTGGGGTTGGGAACGGTCATGAGTGGTTTCAGGGTGTGCAGATGCATTTTCAGGTGGATCTTTCCTGTTGGGTGCATTTTCCATGTCGCCTCCGGCAGCGGCAGCAGCAGCCGGCGCAGCAGCAGTGGCGGCAGCAGCAGTAGCAGCAGCAGCAGTAGCAGAAGCCGCAGCAGAAGCAGCTGCAGTGACAGTAGCACTGGAAGGAGGCAGCGGAGGAAAATCCAGCGATCCTCCAGCATACGCCCTCCTAACTGCCTGATGCACCACACTCCCATCCACATCCCGGAACCCAAACCCCCACGTGTCAAACCCCACTGGAGTCTGCATGTCGGCGCGCTGTGTGGCCCAGCCTATGCGGGCGTGCCCTGACTGCCCCAGATGCTGCATGTGGATTTCGAAATACCACGCGCCTTCCAGCACTCCCCTTGTTGCTAGAACCATGCGATAGCCCTTGCTGCTCGTCGCTGATGACCGATCCTCACTCAACTGAGGATGATGGAAACGGGGATGCGGGGAACGGGGATGCGGGGAACGGGGATGCGGGGAACAGGAAAGTAACGAGAATGAGGGAAAGGCGAGGGGTGAGCGCCTGTTGGCTCGCTGCGTGGCCCAGCCTATGCGGGTGTGCCCTGTGCGCCCCAGACGCAAAATGTGGCTCTCACAGTACCATACGATTGCCTTTGCTGCTTACCTGGATCTGTGCCGCCCGGAACACTCGTGATAAGACAACCGGCTTATCAGGCCCATCTTCGATCTCCAACCCCTTGGGCGCAGGTACCACCTTCACCAGATCCGCCTCCTTCCTCTTGTCCCCCATCCCCGTTATAAGCCCTCCCCCAGCTGCCCCTGCACCAGCCAGCCCCCCCTTGGCCCCCCCATGCGCCCCCCCTCTCCCTCCCCCCTTCTTGCCCGTTTTCCTAGAGCGTGGGGGGAGGCCTTTCCGCTTCTTCCCCCCTTCTGCCGTCCGCGCTGCCCCCCCCACACCTGCTTTTTCACCTGCCCCATCAGCCTCCCCACCCGCCCCTACTTTTTTCGTCTGCTCGTCACTCCCCCCGTCCTCCTCCTTCCCAGGCGTTCCCGCACCGCCGCTTCCCCCTCCCCCACCGTTCTCCCCCGCGCTTCCCCCCTTGCTATCCCTGCTCCCCCCTGTCTTCTTAGTCTGCTCTCGTGGCTTTAAGTCAATAAGAACGTATGATATGTCTTTTTTGCGGGTTACCATGCTTCCCGTCTGTTCCCCCTTCTGCTCCCCCGTCTGCTCCCCTTTTTTCTCTCCCATCTCCTCCTTCTCTTCCTTCTCTTCCTGTCGTTGCTCCCCCTCCCGTCCCTCGTCCTGGTCCCCCTTCTCTCCATTTCCCCCCTTCTCCCCTTGCTCCCCTTGCTCCCCCTGCCCCCCCTGCTCCCCACGCGTCCTAGCTCCGTCGTCCCCCTCCTCATCTCCTCCTCCTCCACCTCCCCCTTCACCATCTCTACTAACCGTTACCTGATTACGTTCCCCCTTCCCATCCTTCTCGGTTCTTCTCGGTTCTCTACCATCACTGCTCTCCTCTCTCCGCTCCTTCTCCTCCTGTCTTTCCTCGTTCCCGTCTCCCTCATGCATACCCCCGTCGCCCCCGTCTTTTGGAACCTCGCTGCCCTTCCCCCCTTCTCTCCTCTCCATATCACCCACTTTCCCGTTCCCCAATTTCCTTCTTTTTTTCTTCGCCAGTCCCTCCCCCTTCCCGTCCTCTGCACCCTCCTCCCCGCCCCCCGCCCGTTCCGCCACGTCACGCTTCCGCGATTTCCTCGCAGCTTCGCTCAGCTTCATCACCTTCCTTGGTCCTTCCTCCTCCGAAACATCCTCGATTTCAGCCGCCTCGTTATCGTCACCGCCATCATCCTCCTCTTCGTCCAAAAGATCAATACACTCCTCCTTCTCCTCCTCTATCTTAACATCCTCGTCATTATCTTCTTCGATCTTAACACAGTCCTCCTCATCCTCATCCTCCTCTCTCTCCTCCTCCTTTTCCCTAACCTTCTCTTGGTCGCTTGTTCCACTCTCCCGTTTCCCCCTTTCTACCCCAACCTGAGACGATGCCGTCTTAACATGGTCCCCCGCGGGCTCCCCACCACCGTCACCCTCATCTCCCCTGCTTCTTGCTTCCTTCTTCTCCTCGCCTTCTCCACCACTCCCCCCATTCTTCCCGTCATCTTCATCATGTCGCGAACTCTCTTCGTCTTCTCTTCCCCGCTTCATCACTGCGGCCGATTCTCTCAGACGACCGTTGCTGATCTGCTCGCCTATGCAGGCTGGCGTCGAGTATTCGCTTATCAACTAAGCTAGCTTCGCTTATCAGTGAAAAATATAATCAGAACGCTGACGCTCGTCAATACACCACTCACAAACAGAAGCCTACGGAAAGCCTAACGTAGTGCTGAACCTAGAGTGAGCGAGGACTAAGTGAAAGAATCATGACTGAAGAGGGGGGTGATATCCTGAAATGAGGGAGGGGAGATATCGAGGTTGCTGTCGAATTTGGCGGGAAACTGAGAGAAATTCAAATCCTCGAATTTGAGAGAATAGCTTACAGAGCCTTCGTGATATTTAGCTTTTGTTGAACTTCGGAAAAGAGCACTTTGTATCGGACCAGATTCGCGAACAATCTCTTGCGGAATTTGCGACATTTTGAACTGTTCGATATTATAAGCCCCTTGTTTACAATCCGCCGAGTCATGATAAGGGGCTGAATAATAGCGAGACTTTTTTCAACAGTCGTGCCAGTGTCCTGCCGACGCGTCCTGTCCTGAGTAGAGGTACAGGAAACGTAGCCTCCTATTTTCTGCTCTGCCCTGCACTCGTCTGAATGGTGCCGCTCGTTACTATCCGAAACTCCTTAGGCACTCCGTCGGCCATCGCAGCCATCCGATTTGTCGCCCGGACAGCATCCACGGCTCCCGTCGCCTTTTCGCCAAAGTTCGCCACCGACACTGTTACTGGCAGTCTATCATCGCGAAATCAGATCGTCACGCCCTTAGTGGTACGCTGCAAGCGTTTAATAAGAAACGCCCATTTGTGTTGTGCTATATCCGTTGCTCTTCCGAGAATAGTAGTCCCCGCATTTGTGACTGTGTCGAGGACTCGATCATTAGGGACTGTTACAACAATGGCTGGTGGCGACCGTAAACCCGCCGCTCCGCGTACAAACTCCGAGGCACCGCACAGCACCGCTCTGCGCCGCTCCACGCGGGCAGCAGCAGCAGCTTCCGCCGCGGCCGCTCGTTCTGGCGACGCCGAGATTGGCGCTGCGACTGGCGGAAAAATAGCGCAGGGAGAAGGCGCGGGGAAAGAGCGCGCGGGGGTCAAGCGCGCGAGAGATGTACCCAGCGGGAGCGGGAAGGGGGAAGCGGGGAAGGGCGCGGTTGGGGGAGGTTGGACGGGGGGAAGGGCGCGGTCACTGGGAAGAGGGGGAGCGGTAGCAGGGGGAAAAGGGAAAAGAGGGAAAGCCGCAGAGCTGAGCGAAGAAGAAGAAGAGGAGGAGGAGGAGGAAGAGGAGGAAGAAGAGGAAGCGGAGGAAGAGGAGAAGGGGAAGACGAAAGGGGGAAAGAGGGGAAGACCCGCAGGCCCACGTGGTCAGCAGGCTAAGGGGATCAACCCAGTAGAATCAGGACATGTGGAGTCACAAGAGCCAAAATCGCAACCAGAATCACAGCCGTTGGAGTCACAGGAAGAAAAAGAGGAGGGCAGGGAGGGAAAAGAAACCGTTCCCGAAGGGCAGGTGAAAAAAGGCCGGGGTAAGGCCGGGCCGCAAAAAGCCGGGAAGAAAAAACCCGGGCAGCTGACGAAAAAAGAGCAGATGGAGATTGCTAAACGAATGGAGGCAGATGCCGAAGCTAGTCAGGAGCCTTGGAAGGTTCTGGTTCACCGAAAGCTGCAACCTGATTGGTTCCCGTATGATCCCAAGACGATGAGGAAAGCTGACGTGGATGGGGGGGGGAGTGAGCTGGCAGGGGCGGGAGGGGAGGAGGGAGGGGAGAAGGGAGGAGGAGAAAAGAAGGTATGGCGCCTTGTGTCTTGGAATGTGAATGGGTTGAGAGCGTTGCTTAAAGGTGGAGAGGGGGAGGGGGAAGGGGAGGGGAGTGGGGGGAAGAGTACAGAGAAGGGGAAGGGGAAGAAGAAAGGGGGAAGGGGAGCAGCAAAGGGGAAGGCGGGCGGAGGGGAGGAGGGGGAATCGCAGGATCCAGCTGGCGAGTCGCAGGATCAGGAGGTGACCATGGCTGCTGACGTGGCGGCTGACGTGTCTGCTGACGTGGCGGCTGAGGCGACCGTGCTGTGTCGATTGGCCGAGAGGGAGCGTGCTGACGTGGTGTGCCTGCAGGAGACGAAGCTGCAGGAGAAAGACGTGGGGGAGATTCAGAAGGCTCTGTCTCCTTCCTTCCCGCACTCATTCTGGAGCTGCAGCACGGCCAAGCTCGGATATTCTGGCACAGCTGTTCTGTCTAAGGTGAGTGGGACCTTATTTGCTCTCCTTCTGTCTAAGGGCGTGGGGGAGGTTCAGAAGGCTCTGTCTCCATCCTTCCCGCACTCGTTCTGGAGCTGTAGCACGGCTAAGCTGGGATATTCTGGCACGGCAGTGCTGTCTAAGGTGAGTGGGTGGAACTTGTGTGTTGCTGTATGGAAGGGCAGGCAGACGGCAGGAGTCGAAGCTGCAGGAGAAGGACGAGGGGAAGGTTCAGAAGGCTCTGTCTCCCACGTTTCCGCACACGTTTTGGAGCTGCAGCACGGCCAAGCTTGGATACTCCGGCACGGCAGTGCTGTCCAAGGCGAGTCAGTGGGACTTGTGTGTTGCTGTATGGAAGGGCAGGCAGACGGGCGTCCGGGAGATTGCAAAGGCGCTTTATCTCCCTCCTTTCCGCACTCCCTTTGGAGCTGCAGCAGTGGAGAGCATGGCAGTGCTGTCTAAGGCGAGCGGTATTCTCGCACGACAGGCCAGAGCACGACAGGCCAGAGCACGACAGGCCAGAGCACGACAGGCCAGAGCACGACAGGCCAGAGCACGACAGGCCAGAGCACGACATGGAGGGGCGCATGGTGACGGTTGAGTTAGTGCCACCCACTGTTGAGTGAATTGTTCTACATATGTGCTTCACTCCCTCTTTTTCAGGTGCGCCCTCTCTCAGTGCGCTACGGCATCAACAAGCCAGAGCACGACAAGGAGGGGCGCGTGGTGACGGTGGGATATAAGACAGTCACTGTTGATTTCACTGTCTTTCCCTTTCAGGTGCCTCCTCTCTCAGTGCGCTACGGCATGGACAAGCCAGAGCACGACAAGGAGGGGCGGGTGGTGAGGGTGGAATTTACTGACAGTGGTAACTGACTACTATCTCATATGTGCCGCTCTCTCCCATCTCCTGTTCAGGTGTCCCCCCTCTCAGTGCGCTACGGCATTGGCAAGCCAGAGCACGACAAGGAGGGGCGCGTGGTGACTGTTGAGTCTTGTCACGGTCGAATCAATCGTTTTATACATGTGCCAATCTCCCCCACTTTTCAGGTGCCTCCTCTCTCAGTGCGCTATGGCATCAACAAGCCAGAGCACGACAAGGAGGGGCGCGTGGTGACTGTGGAATTCGCCCCCTTCTTCCTCGTCTGCTGCTACACCCCCAACTCGTCCGAGAAGCTAGTCAGACTGGTGGGTAGCCAAGGGAAGTCAATGCAAGTCAACGCTAGTCAAGGCTAATCAAGCTATTAGGATTCGCCCCCTTCTTCCTCGTCTGCTGCTACACCCCCAACTCGTCCGAGAAGCTTGTCAGACTGGTGGGTAGCCAAGGGAAGTCAATGCAAGTCAACGCTAGTCAATGCTAGTCAAGGCCAGTTAAGCTAACTAGCCCCATTCTTCCTCGTCTGTTGCTACACTCCCAACTCATCTGAGAAGCTAGTCCGGCTGGTGGGTGGTCAAGACGAGTTAATGCGAGTCAAGCTAGTCACACCAAGTCAAGCTTGTTATTTTCTCCCCTTGCTTCCTCGTCCCAATGTGCTTTGCTGTTCGCACAATGACTGTCCCGCTGTGCCTTGAGGCGATTTTTGAGTCGACTCAAAAATCGCCTCATCACAATGAGTGTCCGTGTGCCTTGTGTCCTCACGGGAAGTGAGGGTGTTTTTGAGACGTCTCAAAAACACCCTCACTTCACATGAGTGTCCCGCTGTACCTTGTGTCCTCACGGCTATCGCGCAAAGACATGGGACGTCGCGTTTTCTACATTCACCCAAGCACTCACGGTTCCCCAATGCGTGTCCCTCCCACTCTGTCTCGTCGTGTCTCTGCAGGACTGTCGCACCAAGGAGTGGGACGATGCGCATGTGGCATTTGAGTCGACTCAAAAGTCGCATGTGGCAGTGCGACATAGCTGGAGGATCTGAATTTGGCAGGGCTGTCAATTTGGACGATTTCCACAAGTACCTTTGCTGGTCCCCAATGCGTGTTCCACCCATTGTGCCTTGTCTCATGTGTGCAGGACTACCGCACCAAGGAATGGGACGTCACATTCGGCAGCTACGTCAAGGTACATACATAGTTAGTGCATCCGTGGGAGGGGTACGGTTAGTGCATTTCCCAGAGAGCCATTGGTGTGCATTCATCTGCAGGACTACCGCACCAAGGAATGGGACGCCGCGTTTGGCAGCTACGTCAAGGTACATACATAGTTAGTGCATCCGTGGGAGGGGTAAGGTTAGTGCATTTCCCAGAGAGCCATTGGTGTGCATTCATCTGCAGGACTACCGCACCAAGGAATGGGACGTCGCGTTTGGCAGCTACGTCAAGGTACATACATAGTTAGTGCATCCGTGGGAGGGGTAAGGTTAGTGCATTTCCCAGAGAGCCATTGGTGTGCATTCATCTGCAGGACTACCGCACCAAGGAATGGGACGTCGCGTTTGGCAGCTACGTCAAGGTACATACATAGTTAGTGCATCCGTGGGAGGGGTAAGGTTAGTGCATTTCCCAGAGAGCCATTGGTGTGCATTCATCTGCAGGACTACCGCACCAAGGAATGGGACGTCGCGTTTGGCAGCTACGTCAAGGCAGGTTCACCTCAGGCCATCTGAGAATTCTCAAAGGCTACGTCAAGGTGGGGTTCGGGAAATCTGAGGATTCTCGAAGTTAAGGATTTTCAAAGTTACGTCAAGTCACAGCAAGCTGAGAATTCGCAAACGCCTATCTGGAGGAGCAGAACCCAGTGATTGTCGCGGGTGATCTCAACTGTGCGTTTGGGGAGAGAAACCTCTTTCACCTCGAGGGCAACCGAAGAAGCTCGGTCTCCTCTGCCCTCCCACCACTCCATCCACTCACTCCCTCTCCCTCTCCTCTCTTCCTCGAATGGTCGACTGGCATAACAACAGGAACTGGAGAAGCAGAAGCCAGTGGTTGTGACGGGTGACCTGAACTGTGCGTTCGGGGAGATTGACGTCTTTCACCCCGAGGGCAATTGGAGGAGCTCGGGATTCACTCCCTTCCAACCAGCCCCTTCCCTCACTCCGTCTATGTTTCTCCCTCTGTTGTGATGTGCCATTCCAGGAGCTGGAGCAGCAGAAGCCGGTGATTGTCACCGGAGACCTCAACTGTGCGTTCGGGGAGATTGACATCTTTCCACCCTGAGGGCAACCCACGGAGCTCACTCTCTCTCCTCTCCTCTGTCTCCCCCTCACGATTTCGAATCCCTCCATTCCAGGAACTGGAGAAGCAGAAGCCGGTGGTTGTGACTGGTGACCTGAACTGTGCGTTTGGGGAGATCGACATTTTCCACCCCGAGGGCAACCGCAGGAGCTCGGGGTTTACCGATGAGGAGCGGGCGTCGTTTGCAGCTAACCTGCTGGGCGTGCCCTGGGAAGGGGAAGAGGGGGGAGAGGAGGGGAAAGGGGGAGAGGGAGGAGAGGGAGGAGAGAATGGAAGTGGAGGGAAGAAGGGGGAAGAGGAGGTGAAAGGGGAGGGTGGAGATGAGGGGGGAAGAGGCAAGGAACGTGGTTTGGTGGATACGTTTCGCAGTCAGCATCCCAATGCAGTGGCGTATACCTACTGGGGGTACCGGTCGAAAGCAAGACCTGCTAACAGAGGTACGTGGCAATCAGTCACACTCTCTCACTCAGGCTCACACCCACGCTCTCATGCACTTACATACTCGCTTGCACGCACACTGGTTCGGGAAATACGTTTTGACTGGATGGTAGTGACCTGGACTACTTTTGAGGCGACTCAAAACCGGATGGTGACCGAGACTATTTTCTTGTGTCCCAGTCGCTAGCACCAACTATGCACGACTCATACATACACCTTGAGACGCTGATTTGTGATTTCTTTTTTTGGCCCCTCTATTCCCCAACCCACTTACCTCTGCGCCTTTCACCAGGATGGCGTTTGGATTACTTTCTGGTGTCCAAGTCACTAGCATCAAATGTGCACGACTCATACCACACCATGTGACACTGATTTCTGATTCCTGATCTTTTCCCAATCCCTTTACCTTTCACCAGGATGGCGTTTGGATTACTTTCTGGTGTCCCAGTTACTAGCATCAAATGTGCACGACTATGCTGATATCTCATTTCCCTTGTTCGCCCCTCTCTTCCCAACCCTTGGCATCTCACCAGGTTGGCGCCTGGATTAATTTCTTGTGTCGCAGTCGCTAGCATCAAGAGTGCACGACTCATACACCATGAGATGCTGATATCTCATTTCCCTTGTTCGCCCCTCTCTTCCCAACCCTTGTTCGCCCCTCTCTTCCCAACCCTTGGCATCTCACCAGGTTGGCGCTTGGATTACTTTCTTGTGTCGCAGTCGCTAGCATCAAGAGTGCACGACTCATACACCATGCCAGATGTGCCTGGCAGCGACCACTGCCCCCTGGGGCTCATACTGAAGATGTGACTGTACGGAGTGAATAGTAGGGTGTGCGTGGCTGCAGCGAATATGACAAGCGCACACCAAACAACTCTTCCTAGTAACCCAGTCAGTCACTAGCATGCAGAGTGCACGACTCCTACCTACACTATGCCAGATGTAAACCTGGCAGCGACCCCGCTGGCAACGTGCTGAAGATGTGACTGGTAGGGTGTGTTGCTATTGTCAGAATGTTATTCTCTAGCCTGTAGTGGGGTGCTCTATAGCGAGTACAACCCATCTAGGGTTTGCTATATGTATCATCATTGCTGCTAGTGAACTCCTCTCTCTTTTTGCCTAAACTTCTCTTGCCTAGCTAGGGCTTACCTAGCTATGGCTCCTAAGACTGCTCGTTCTTTTAACATGGTATCAGAGCTATTATGACAGCAGTACACCAAAGTTCCTAGCATCAAGAGTGCATGACTCGTATATCATGCTATGTGCCCAGAAGCAAGCAAGCATTTGCCCTATGGGAGTGTTGCCAGCTTACCAGAATGTTAAATTAGCAAGCATGGCATGACTAGATTAACAGTATCGTATTGCACAAATCATATATTACGTAAGCAGCAAGAGTGCATGACACCCTGCCAGATGTGTGCCTTGTATGTTTTTTGAGATTTCTCAAAAAACATACACATGACACCATGCCACATGTGTGGCTGCTGGGAGTGACCATTCCCTGCTTGGGCTTGTGCTGATGGTGTGGCAGTAGGGAGTGTTGCTGCTGCAATAAACGGGAGGAAATGATGGAAGGGAGAACAGGAGTAACATAAGGAACAGGGAACGGGTGATGAGGAAGGGCGGACGGGAGAAAATGAGGAAGGGCGAGAGGGAGGGGATGAGGATGATAGAACAGTAAGAAATGATGGAGGGAGAACGAGCATTAGATAGCATGCACTTTCGGAGGAAATGGCAAGTGACGTGTTGCGAAAGCAAGAACGAAGGCAAGGGGAAGGCTAGGATGACGTGGTGGAAGGAAGCCAGGAATAGAGAGATTGAGGAATGGAGGAAACACGAAAGACGGAAACGGGAAAGCCGGAAACGCGATGAGTGGCCCTAAACCCTTGACTGTTGTAAGCTATGGTCTGAAATAGTAGCGGTGCGAGGAACTATGCGTGGTCACACGGCCTGAGGCGATTTTTGAGGCGCCTCAAAAGAAGTATGCGTAGTCACACTAGAGGGAGGGTGTGCATGAACTACGTGTGGTCACACGGCCTGAATTACCTTTCCTGGCTGTGCACACTCATGCCCATGTCCCCTCCTGAATGGTTGCCACGAGCGGGTGTGCAGCTGCAACAGTAGATTTTTTAGTCGACTCAAAAATTGACTTATCAGCTGCAAAGTAGTTATCAGGGTGCGGATACCAGTCACCCATGTTGACTGTATAAAAGCCGCTGAGCAACCTCCCATTCGTCGAGCGCAGCTCGTTAATCAATCTGCTCCAGTTAGACCCGAGCGCACCCACAAAGTAGTCGCACTGAGACGCGATAACAGCGGCTTTTGATTGAGGTGCTTCAAAAGGCTGCAACAGTAGAAGAGAGTGCAGCTACCAGTCCCCCATGTTGACTGTATAAAATCCGCTGAGCAACCTCCCGTTCGTTGACCGCAGTTCGTTTATTAGTCGGCTCCAGTTAGACCCGAGCGCACCCACAAAGTAGTCGCACTGCGACGCGATGATAACGCTCGCGAAACTCGCTGCGACTGACTGCTTGAGCTCGTATTCTCGGCTCGACCTGGAGTCCACGGGCTGGCGCGAGTTGGATGAGTAAAGGAACTTCCAGTCCGCGTACAAGGCTGATTCCTTGATCACAGACTGGGATGGCGGGTGGGAGAGAAGGAAGGACGGAAGAATGGTTTGAGAGTTTTGAGACATCTCATACTTGCGGCTTGACCTGGAGTCCACGGGCTGGCGCGAGTTGGAGGAGTAGAGGAACTTCCATTCGAGGTACAAGGCTGATTCTCTAATCACGGACTGTAGGGCGGGTGGGAGAGAAGGAAGGAAGGAAGGAAGGCCTGTTAGTCGACTAAAAAACAAGCGAGTTGGAGGAGTGAAGGAACTTCCATTCGAGGTACAAGGCAGATTCCCTGACCACGGACTGAGAGGTGGGTGGTGGGAGAGAAGGAAGGAAGGAAGGAAGGAAGGTTTACGCTGGAGGAAAAGCAGGGAGAGAGGCGGATCGTGGTGAGTTAGGGAAGACAAGCAACGCCATTGGCAAGCGATAAAGAGGTGGAGGAGTAGAAGGCATGGGCAAGGCAAGCATTCGTTGCCCCACACACCTCCATCTCTGTATTGAGCCCCACGTATCGCAGGTCCGGCACGTGGCGCCGCAGCCGGTGCACAAAGAACATGTGCGTCGCGAGCGGCGACAGACACATCTCCACGCACCTCTCAAAGCATCCATTGCCCCACGCACGCACCTCCATTTCCGTATTGAGCCACACGTGTCGCAGGTCCGGCACGTGGCGCCGCAGCCGGTGCACAAAGAACATGTGCGTCGCGAGCGGCGACAGACACATCTCCACGCACCTCTCAAAGCATCCATTGCCCCAAGCACGCACCTCCATTTCCGTATTGAGCCACACGTGTCGCAGGTCCGGCACGTGGCGCCGCAGCCGGTGCACAAAGAACATGAGTGTGGCGAGCGGCGACATTGAGGTGTATTTTGGCTTCAAAATACACCTCGGTGCACAAAGAACATGTGCGTGGCGAGCGACGACAGGCGCATCACTGTGCCCTTGTCACTCTGCCGCACGTGCAAGCCTTGGAGTCCACTCACAACGCACCTCCATCTCGGTGTTGAGCCACACGTGTCGCAGGTCCGGCACGTGGCGGCGCAGCCGATGCACAAAGAACATGTGCGTGGCGAGCGGCGACAGGCGCATCTCAGTCCCTTTGTCGCTCTGCCGCACGTGCACACTCACGATCGGCCGCATCACAAACGGCTCCCCTCCCAACGATGCGTACGTCTCCTTAATCGCCTTGGCATCTGCAGCACTCATGCAGGTCTCTTTACACCCCGCGAACCCCCGGACGGTCCAGACTTGCGATTCAATGGGTCCCGGAGGGCCCGCGGAAATCTCGGAAAGTTTCTTGGATTCGGGTGACTCGGATGTGTTGCCTGCGACGGCCCGGAGGATCTCGGTCTGGGTTTCGGTGTAGCGCGAGAGGTGGGATGCGGTGAGGAGGCCGTAGGCGGTGTGGCGCTCCTTGTTGATTTGGTGGCACGTGTGAGGGGAGGGCCAGCGCAGCATGAAGCGTGTTGACTGGGATCGCCACCAGTGCACCTGATAGGCGAGGAGGGGAGGGGTAGGGGGAGGGGTGAGACGTGGTGTGGAGGCCGTAGGCGGTGTGGCGCTCCTTGTTGGTGGCGTGGCACGTGTGAAGCGAGGGCCAGCGCAGCATGAAGCGCGTTGATTGGGATCGCCACCAGTGCACCTGACAGCCAGGCGAGGAGGGGAGGGGTAGGGGGAGGAATTGAGAGGAGGGAGAGCGGGAGGGAAGGGAGAGAGGGAGAGGGAGAGGAGGGGAGGGGGTAGCGCGAGAGGTGAGACGCGGTGTGGGCGCCACACCGCCAACCAGCGCGTTATGAAGCGCGCCAACTGGGATCGCCACCAGTGCACCTGCAAGGTGTGGGGGCATGCAGGGGAGGGGTAAGACGAGGAGTGGAGGTGACTGGGGTCGACTGGGGTCGACTGGGGTCGACTGGGGTCGCCACCAGTTCACCATCTGCCAAGAGAGGAGGTGAGGGGTAGGGGGGATGTAGGCGAGAGGTGAGGGGTAGGGGGAGTTTTGAGACGTCTCAAGAAACGCAAGCAAGCGCACACACACGCACGCACCATCGGGTGTTTGTCGTCAGCTTGCGGTTACTCCCCCATGTTTTGAGTCGACTCAAAACACCAAACCCACAAGTGAGCGCATTCGCACGCACCACGGGGTGATTGGTCCCAACAGGCGGCTGCTCCCCCATATTCTCCACCACATTCGGGTGAGTACTGAGTCGACTCGCAAGTCACTGTGTACCATGCGGATTCATTTGTACAACCACTCCCATGAGAAAGCGAGCGCACACACGCACGCACCACGGGGTGATTGGTCTCAGCAGGCGGCTGCTCCCCCATATACTCCACCACATTCGGGGCCCTCGCGAACGCATCGCCCCATAGCCTGGGGAAGTGGGGGGCGGGAGCGGGGGACGGGGTTGGGGCCTTTAAGGCGCCTCAAGAGTCGCACCATCGATGTTGGGTGTCAACGTGCGGCTGCTCCCCGAATGAGTGTAATCCACCACATTCGGGGCCCTCGCGTACGCATCGCCCCATAGCCTGGGGAAGTGGGGGGCGGGAGCGGGGGACGGGGTTGGGGCCTTTAAGGCGCCTCAAGAGTCGCACCATCGATGTTGGGTGTCAACGTGCGGCTGCTCCCCGAATGAGTGTAATCCACCACATTCGGGGCCCTCGCGTACGCATCGCCCCATAGCCTGGGGCAGTGGAGGGTGGGGTGGGGGGCTAGGTGGGGCTTTGAGGTTGGGAAGCAAATAGGAGCATGGAGAGTGAGTGGCAGAGGTAAGGAGCGGGAGAAGCGGGAAGAGGGAGTGAAGGGACGAGGTACGAGGGAAGAGAGGACGCGAATGTATGCCCTCCTGACACGTGGGTCCCACACACACCTAACTCCCTTCACCTCCCCACAACCCTGAATCATTAGCCAGCCCAGGCCTCATAACCATCTCACCCCTCTCCCGCTCCTTACCCCACATTCCCTGCACTCTTCACACCTTCTCACCCCTTCCACATCTCACACACCTCCTCACCCCCTTCACCTCGCCACAACCTTAAATCATCAGCCCGCCCAGGCCTCATAACCCTCTCACTGGCCACGTGTAAAAAGAGTATTTTTGAGACGTCTCAAAAACACAACCTTAAATCATCAGCCCGCCCAGGCCTCATAACCCTCTCACTGGCGACCTTCAGGAGCCATGCGCCCACCCCACATTCCCTGCACCCTCCCCTCCTCCCTTTCCCCTTCCCCCTGTGCCTTCCCCGTCCCGTTCCCCTTCCCTTCAACGTTTCCCATCCCCTTTCCCCTTCCCCCCCTTCCCCCCTTCCCCTTCCCCTCACACGCACGTGGCCGCACGCGCCTCAAGCTTCATCTGGCTGTCGCAGCTGGCGTTGAGATGAACCACAGGGTCGGTCGAGGCAGGCAGGCGATTGTGGCCCTGCCTTTCCTTTTTGAGTCGACTCAAAGGTCAGCCCCTTCACCCCTTTCCCCCTCACACGCACGTGGCAGCACGGGCTTCAAGCTTCATCTGGCTGTCGCAGCTGGCATTGAGATGAACCACAGGTTCGGTCGAGGCAGCCTTTTGAGTCGACTCAGAAGTTAGCCATTCCCCTTCCCACTTCCCCTTCCTCCCCCCTTTCCCCCTTCTACAACTTACTTAGCAGCACGCGCCTCAAACTTCATCTGGCTGTCGCAGCTGACGTTGAGATACACCACAGGGTCGGCCAAGGCAGCCTTGTGAGTCGATAAAAAATCATCTATTCCTTTCCTTCCCCATCCTCCTACAACTTACTTAGCAGCACGCGCCTCAAGCTTCATCTGGCTGTCGCAGCTGGCGTTGAGATGCACCACAGGGTCGCCCGAGGCAGCGAGGCGATTGTGGCCCACTTTGTCAGAGGAGAGAGGGGGCATGGTGCTGCTGGCTGTCATATCCGAGACCACGCGCTCACAGTCGGGATTCACTATGGGGAAGAAGTAGCAACCCCACGCCCCACCTGTCTTTGTGGCTGGGAAAGACAAGGGGAAGGGGAGTGGGGAGTGGGAGTGGGGAGCACGGAGGGCATGGTGCTGCTGGCTGTCATACCCGATACCACGCGCTCACATTCGGGATTCACTATGGGGAAGTAGCAACCCCACGCCCCGCCCGTGCTGGTGGCTGGGGGAAAGGAAGGGGGGAGGGGGAGCGGGGGGGCATGGGGGTGGTGGGTGGGAAATGGGGAGTGGGTGTGAGAAATGGAGGCGGTTGAGCATGGTAGGAAAAGGAAGAGGTTGAGCTCACAATTGAGACAAGTTGGTTTCTGCGGATTCTCAAGAACAACCTGGTCGCAGGCGCGCACAAAAGCAGGCTGAGTATAAGCTGGGCGTACCTGCAACCTCACAATTGTATGTCTTGATAAGCTGGGCGTGGCACTCACAATTGCATGTCTCGGTGTGGGCACGAATATTGAGGCGCCTCAACAAATCCAGGCGGGCTTAGTACAAACAAGCTACACGTAGAGCTCACAATTGCATGTCTCAGTGAATGCTCGGTCGTACGAGCCAGGCGCGGGCACGAGTGTGCGGTTGTGAATCAAGGCCAGGCTCAGGAAAGTGCTCATCACGTGTATCTGATGGTGCCGGTGGGTGGGTGCAAGGGAGGGAGGCGGGAGAGAAGGGAATGTGCGGTTGTGACTCAAGGCCAGGCTCAGGAAAGTGCTCATCACGTGTATCTGATGGGTAATGATGGGGGTAATGATGCAAGGGAGGCAAGCAGGAGAGAAGGGAGTTTGCGGTTGTGACTCAAGGCCAGGCTCAGAAACGTGCTCATCACGTGTATCTGGTGGGCATTGATGGGGGTAATGATGGGGGTAACGATGGGGGTAATGATGGCAAAAAAGGCCTGGCTCAGAAACGTGCTCATCACGTGTATCTGGTGGTGCCGGTGGGTGGGTGGGTGCAAGAAACGGAGGGAGGAAACCCACTGACCAGTGAGGGAGCCCCTCCCACCTGCGAGCACCCCGACTCTCGTTAGCAAGCCCCCCAATACCCACCTAGCAACCAAAATCACTCTTTCTTTCCGACTCTCACGGTCCCTCCCGTAAGCCCCGCCCTCTTCTACCTGCGAGCTGGTGCCTCCACAGATTCCGACTTTTGAGACGTCTTAAAAGTCGCCCTCTCCCACCTGTGAGCCCACGCCGTGGTGGGTCTTGGTGGGCCACGGCACGACGAGCAGGCGCCTGCCGTCGCAGCTGCCGTGGAACAGCTGGTGCTCCCACAGATCCCTCTGCACCACCCGCGTCAGCGGTAGATTGTCTGCATCCGATCCGCGCACCTGGTTGGTTGGGAGGAAGGCAGGCGCGAGGGGAGGTGGGGAGAGCCGTGGGGAGAGAGAGATTGGGAGGAGGCGGGGGAAGCAGCTGGTGCTCCCACAGGTCCCGCTGTGCCACTCGCGTCAGCGGTAGATTGTCCGCATCGGACCCGCGCACCTGGTTGGGGGGAAGGCAGGCGCGAGGGGAGGTGGGGTGGGGAGAGACATGGAAGAGAAAATGGCAGGGGAAACAGCTGGTGCTCCCACCACAGGTCCCGCTGCACCACGCGCGTCAGCGGTAGATTGCCCGCATCGGACCCGCACACCTGGGGGTTGGGAGGGGGTGGGCAGGGGATGGTGATGAGTAGTTGGAGAGGAAATCTACTAATTGCCTTCCCTACACCATTGTCTCGCTTACACCCTAGTCTATGTGGTGCCATAGTAGCCATAGTACCCATGGTGGTTGGGGGTTGCATTCCGAGCAGTTATTCACAGCCCGCGCCCACAGGGGAGGCTCCCCGTCCCCTCCGCGTCGCTCCGACTCCTTCCTCGCCGTCGTCAGCGCCTCGCAGTCCTCCAGGTGCGGCGCGCGCGGCACGATGGCCGGCAAGGTGATTTTCGCGGGCGGCAAGTGAACGTCGGGTTTCAATCCATAGGCCTCCTCCCATATCTGACGGATCAGAAAAGACGGGGTGCGAAGGGAATGGAAGCGTGAGGGGAAGGGAATGGGAGCGTGCGGGCGGCATGTGGACGTCGGGTTTCAGCCCGTACGCGTCCTCCCATATCTGAGGGATCAAGACGAAGGGTGTGAGGAGATGAGTTGAGGGGAGAAGAGAGCGTGACGCGAGGACGGAGTAGCGCGGAGCGCGGAGAGCGGCGCGAGGAGCTGTGTGCAGACGGGAGCGAGCGAGCCGGAACTCACGCGGAAAAGAGACATGGCTCGCTCGATACCCGCCTCGCCGCCGATCTGCCCACGTGGCATGACGTCGGGCATCTGCGCCATGACGGACGGCTGCGATGCGCCGCGGAGCAAGAGGAGCGAGACGACGATAACAGCGAGAGACATGGTGGTGCGGTGCGGTGCGGTGTTCGCCAGAAATGAATGGAAAGGCCTAATGGAATTCGTAAGTGACCATGATATACAGCAGCACCATCAGAGGGAGACTTCTCGTCACCTCACCACCACTCCCTGGCTCGATTCTGACAACCTGCGAGGTAATTCGCACAGGGGAATTGGTGCAGACAAACAGAACCGTCCCACGAAGAATCCCGTGTGATCGTGAGCAGGATGAGTGAAAAGTTTGTTTTTCGTCAATGTATTTAGCCTTCTCAATCGCCTTGTGATCGCAAAAAGAACTCGTCAGTAATAGTCAGCGTAATACGGTAGAGAACGGTAAAGAGTTCAGTGGAACGACGGCCAAACATTGACGTTGATCCTAAAGCTGATTGTACTTCCGCGAACGTACAATCGGGAGACAATGCTTGTGTGGTTCTATGGCTGCCTGAACTTCACCAAGGTTTGTTTTCTCCACAGCCAGAGGAAAAGGTTTGTTTTCGTTTCATTTCCTTTCGTATTCGTCTACCACGCAAAGTCACTTATAGTCGTAAAGAACAGAGATACTTATACATCTGAATACAGAGCTACAAGTGATTACAAATAACTTCTAAGATCCCCTAAGTGTCAACCACCGCATCTACAGTGCGGATCCACAGCTTGTCTTTCTTGGTCCTTCGTCTTCTTGTCTTTCTTGGTCCTTGGTCTTCTTGTCTTTCTTGGTTCTTGGTCTAGGGCCATTCGTTCGGGGTCTGTTTGGGAGGGAGGGGACTTATTTACAGGGCAGAAAGGAGGGGGGACGGTTAAAATTATATACAGGGCAGCGAGTTCCCGCCATGTTGACCTCCGTAAGGAAGAGAGGGAAGATCAAAGACAATCCTAACCGAACCCAACCACGCCCAACTACACCTGACCGTCCGAACCTAACGTCCTAGCTAATTCGAGCCTAGGTCTAGACCGCAAACCAGATCCGAGCCTAGCTAAGGCTAACGCGTCCCCCAGCTAGGCCTAATTCGAGCCTAACGATCTGACTAACCGCTCCTAAACGTTCTGACTAACGCTCCTAACGTAGACCTAACCACCCAGGGAGCCAGGGCCCAGACCCACTTATACACGACTGGTTGCTCCAAGCTCGGCGCTCCAAGCTCCTTGCTCCATCGAGGCGCGCGGCTACTCTCTCCGCGCTCCTCGCCCGCTCACGCTCCTGGCCACAAACCAAAACCAAGGGAGGACGTTAGTGTTTTGATAAGGAAGAACGAAATTGAAATTGACGGAACTTACTAGGAAAAGGGAGACCAGTCAGTTTATCCCCTTGCTCGCCGACAGCTCCCCATGGCGCTCCTTCTGCACAAAGACAGAACACAAAAGAGAAACTTAGTAAAACGTAAACGAAAATACAGCTGAAATTGACAAAACTTCCCGGAGAGGGAGATCTCGCCCCGTGTACCTCCTCCGCCCGCCCCAGGTGTTGCCCCTGCTCCTGCTCCCTCTGCATTTAAAAGGCACGGAAGGGCAAGGAAAAAAACGTTAGGTAACAGATAGTCGCTAAAGGGCAAAAACAGAAGACTGATGACCGGAAACGAGGTAAAACAGTGACGGAATTTACCAGCAGAGCCGAACCATTCCGTCACCCCCTTGCTCGCCGTCAGCTCCGAGTCCCGCTCCTTCTGCACTAAGACAGAACACAAAGAATACTTAGTTACAGTAAAACGTAAACAGAGCACTAACTGAAACTGACGATACTTACAGAGAGAGGGAGAGCTCTCCGCGTGGTACCTCCCCCGCCCGCTCCAGGTGTTGCCTGCGCTCCTCCTCCGCCCGCTCCTGCGCGAAAGACACCAACTCGAAGTTAGAAATCTCGAAATAGAAGAAACGAAAGATAGCAGACCATGCTTACCAGGACAAGGAGAGTGATTCTTCTTCCTCCCGCTGTTGCCACGTGCTGCTCCTCATCCCGCTCCTGCTTCACAAGCCACGAAACTCGAAGTTAGAAATCTCGAAAAAGAAGTAACGAACGAAATAAGACCGTGCTTACCAGGAGAAGGAGAGCGTTCTCTTCTTCTTTACCTTCACGCTGTTGCCACGCGCTCCTCCCGCTCCTGGTTCACAAGAGGCACGAAACTCGAAGTTAGAAATGTCGAAAGAATAAAAAGCGAACGGGAGCAGACCGTGCTTACCAGGATAGGGAAAGCGTTCATTTCTTCTTGACCTCCCTTGTCGCCAGCTCCCATCCAGCTCCTTCTGCACTAAGACAGAGAACACACAAGAATAAATTAGTAAATTGTAAATAACATATTAGCTGAAATTGACGAGACTTACGAAGAGAGGGAGAGATCTCCCCGTGTTCCTTCTTGCTCGTCGCCAGCCTTCCATCCCGCTCCTTCTGCATTAAAACAGAGAACACACAAGAATAAGTTAGTAAAACGTAAAGAAAATTCTAGCTGAAATTGACGATAGTTACCAAGAGAGGGAGAGCTCTCCGCGTCTTCCTTCTTGGTCGTCGCCAGCTCCCCATCCCGCTCCTTCTGCACTAAGACAGAGAACACACAAGAATTAAGTTAGTAAAACGTAAAGAAAATTCTAGCTGAAATTGACGATAGTTACCAAGAGAGGGAGAGCTCTCCGCGTCTTCCTTCTTGGTCGTCGCCAGCTCCCCATCCCGCTCCTTCTGCACTAAGACAGAGAAGACACAAGAATAAGTTAGTAAAACGTAAAGAACATACTAGCTGAAATTGACGATACTTACAAAGAGAAGGAGAAATCTCCCCGTGTTCCTTCTTGGTCGTCGCCAGCTCCCCATCCCGCTCCTTCTGCACTAAGACAGAGAAGACACAAGAATAAGTTAGTAAAACGTAAAGAACATACTAGCTGAAATTGACGATACTTACAAAGAGAAGGAGAAATCTCCCCGTGTTCCTTCTTGGTCGTCGCCAGCCTTCCATCCCGCTCCTTCTGCATTAAGACAGAGAACACACAAGAGGAAGTTAGTAAAACGTAAAATACATACTAGCTGAAATTGACGATAGTTACCAAGAGAGAGAGAGAGCTCTTCCCGTGTTCCTTCTTTGTCGTCGCCAGCTCCCCATCCCGCTCCTTCTGCATTAAGACAGAAAACACACAAGAGGAAGTTAGTAAAACGTAAAGGAAATTCTAGCTGAAATTGACGATAGTTACCAAGAGAGAGAGAGAGATCTTCCCGTGTTTCTCCTTGCTCGCCGCCAGCTTCCCATCCCGCTCCTTCTGCACTAAGACACAAAACACAAAAGAGCAAGTTAGTAAAACGTAAAGAGAATACTAGCTGAAATTGACGATACTTACCAAGAGAGGGACGAAGATCGCCTCCTCGCGGCGACGAAGATGTCGCAGTGGACAAGGATCTGCCGGATCAGTAAGCTACGTTGTCGCAGTGATGTCCACTTTGGCGAAGATGTCCTTGCGATTGCCACCATGCGACGGAAGAAGCGCATCTTTGCGCCGAGGCGAAGCAGTAGGCCGCGTCACAACGAGGCATTCGACGACCTCGGCTTGACTTCTGATAGAGATTGGTCGAGAAGCGCCAAGGCGGTGTCCTGCAGGAAGAAGAAAAATCCGTTAGAGCTTATCCAGTAAAACCTTATGAAGAATGAGAAAACAGTTGCAGAATACGAGAGAAAACAGTTGCAAAAGTTGCAAAAGAGCTACTTACGTCCACTTGAAAGAGATGACAATCCCGTCTCCTTCGCCTTGGTAGCTGCGCCGGAGTAATCGCCAACAGCGACGGGGAAAGCGCCATTGAAGATCGTCTTGATAAGATCTCGAAGCAAAGACTTCCCGATGGTATCGCGGTGGATGATATCGCGGTGGTCAACTTGCCGTAAAGATCTTCCCGGGTTCTCGCGATCTTGACGGTGGAGTTCTCGCCATAAGAAGTTTCTCACGATGTAGTTCTCGCCGCGAAGAACAGGGCGTAGTACAAGGTTCCGGCCAAGGCTTGCAAGCAGCTCTCTAGACTCTCTACCCACCCACCCCACCCACGACTCTAGACTCTACGCTAACTCTAACGCCTACGCGAACCTACGCGGACTCTAAGACGCGCTGCTGCTTGCCTTGGCCTTTCCCTTGTACTAGCTCGGGTGAATTCATGATGTAGCTTAGAATGCCCAATAGAGCTTGTCGAATGAATTCCACAGATAGAGCTCATTGAGACGGAGCTCATGGAGACGGAGCTTACGGGGACCGAGCTCCTCTAAAAAGTTCTTCCGACGAGATAATTGGGAAGGTTGAAATCCGAGAATGAAGTTGACAATAGGAAGTTGTAGTGCGTTGATGGAAGGAAAGGGACGATCGAACAAGGTCGTTGGAAGGAGGAGAGTGTCGATAGAGACGACGCGGGTCGGAAACTTCTGGGTGCGGTGCGGGCTGCGCAAGCGGAGCGGCGTGTCTCAAAACGTTTGCGGTGCGGCGATGCAGGTTCGGAAAGTTGCCGTTGGCGGTGAGGCGTGGCGCAACGCGGTGCGGACCTTCGCTGCTGCTAGTACTGGGCGGGAAGGGGTTCGAATAATTTGCGGGTTACAGGAATATGCTGAACGGATGGTGGAGATGATAGCCACCACCGATGAATATTGGTCACCATAGAGATGTGAAGATTCGTCACCATAGAGATGTGATGTGATGTGATGGCCGCCGCCACCATAGAATTTCCCCGCCTAGGAAATGTCGAATAACTTTTTCCACGGGGACTTTCAACGCGACCGAATGTGAGCATGTGGACTCATCCCAAAGCTTTTGTGTGTTTTGGTGAATTTCAGCCGCTCAATAGCTGAGTGCGGCGCGTTGCGATCAAGCGTGGGGCCTCTGGTATGGTGCATTGGTGCCGTTAGAATACCAAGCTATTTGGCGGAGATCATGGCCGCCGCTGATGAATGGTGACGTCTTGGAGGGGTGTTTCGTTGGAGGCTGTGATGTGGTGTCTGGCGCCGCCAAAGAGAATTCCGCCTAGAATGTTAGAGGGCCCTACGACAGCAAGGGCCCTCGATGACCTTTGACTTGGCAGGTCGGCGCCTAACGACTGAGTCTACTCGGCACCGACGCACAAGTTCGGTGGCGGTCATTAGTGACTACGGGTGACTGTGAGCTACTGCAGCGAACTCGGCAGAATCGGTGCTAGGAATGACGAGTCTTGGGGGTCGTAGGTGCCTTGTGAGGCACGCTGCTCACTTGCTGTGTTGGCAGGAGTAGCGTGCACGGTGAGACATTCCGGTGCCGCCGAGTTGGGTTGGAAATGTGCGGGGCGCGTTCACCCACATGCACAGCACTTTCGTGTGGGTTGGGTTACTCGCAGCGCCACGCAACAATTGTGCAACTCTTGCTTGCCTATATATGTTTGTGTTTGCTTGTGTGTTTGATAATTGATATTGCAATTCTACTTGGCCCAAATGCTACTTCAATTCTCACAAAGTCCTTAGAGGCAAACGCTACCAAAACTCTACCAAGTTGTTGGCGCAACATCATTCCCATAGCAGAGACTCTCTCGCTATCGCTACGCTCTCTAATATATTCCTTCATGGTGCGGTGAGCGTGGATCGAACACGCATAGATTTCCGTCGTCGTTGATATTCGCGTTCGTATACTCGCCTTGGCGTGCGGCGTTAGTGAAGGGCGCTTATTAATCTAAGTTGAACCTCTCTTGATTTCCCTCCAGTTACGTTCTCGGACCCAAGGATAGGGCGTTTGGTAATTTATTACCACTCGTCTGAGGACCCTTGTGAGGTGAGCCCGAGACGAGGGATTTAAGGAAGGGGCACTTTATTTTAATTTGTGGTACCTTATAGAGACGTCGTAGAGGATGAGTACAGAGGAGGCGAACGTGGAGGCCGGTAATTTGCGCGCCCTAGAGGAGGATCTCGTGGCTCGTCATTCTCGTGGTGAGATTAGTGATATCGAATACGAGCTAATGTTGGAGGGATTGCGCTCGCGTCGGCGTCGTGAGCACCCTTCGCCACGTGTAGAGAATGTTGAGCAAGTTGCGGGAGGTACTAGTGCGTGGGATATGGCTGTCGATGGCGGAAATAGCGATGACGAGGAGTTTGATGGGTTGATGTCGCGTGGGGTCCTGCGAGGACCAACTCGGTTTAGTACGGCTAGCGTTGGCGGTGTACAGGAGCGTGTTCATCGTGCAGCAGCGTCACGAGAGCATGCGAATGTAGGACGGCGGAGCGTTGCTGGAGGAGGAATTGCGGAAGAGTTCGATAGTGAGGCTATGCCGGGCGTTACCCCGATTGGATCGATGTCGAGGGACGAGGGAATAGCCCCCAACTATGGCTACTTCAGATTCACTCCAGACAAGAACGTTGTCACTAGGCCGTTAGAAGGACGTCACGACCTGTCGACGTGGACAGAATCAATCGAGCCGCAGCTTGAGATCGCTCAGCTAAAGCGATTCATAGATGGCACCACCCCCATTCCACCAGCGCGTGCGCTTGCGCATCTCTCTCAGTTCCGCGCGATGCAGTTGCTGACATTCACCACAATTTCCCGATGCTGCTCCCCAACCGTACAGATCGCCCTTAAGGCGTGTCGCATGAAGGTCGATGCCGGCTATCAGGCATGGCAGTTTATTATGCGCACGTACATGGCGAAGGACGATCTGTACATCGGTCAGTTAGAGCAGGCGCTCACTAACCTCGAGATGGGAGAGCACGAGTCCGCTACGTCCTATTGCAACCGTGCGCAGCAGATCCTAGTGAACCTGAGGATGGCCGGCGTAGATTACTCGCAGGCGTCGTACATCACTCACGTTGTGAAGGGGTTGCCGCAGCAGTACAACCTCTTACGCAGGATGCTGAAGTTGCCGCAGGTTCGCAAGGAGTTGGACGAGGACACCCTCGCTAGCTACATCATCGAGGAGGAGTGTACGCTCGCGGCAGAGGGACGAAAGGACCAATTTCTTCCCCAGGCTAACCAGGTCTTTACCAAGAAGGGTAAGCCCCAATTTCAGCAGACTTCATTCCCTTCCCCTCCCACTACGGCACAGCAGCAGCAGCCTAAGAATGGGGGTGGGCTTGGTGGGGGAGGGGAGAAGTGGAAAGGGGGTAAGGATGGCCAGCCGAAGGGGGGGAAAGGGGGCTTCAAGGGGAAGTGCTATGTGTGTGGACAAATAGGGCATGTTGCTAAGTACTGTCAGCAGCGGGCGGATAAGGAGGCAGACACCGGTGGAGAGGGTTCTGGAGGTAGCAGCGGAAAGGGGGGTGATGGCTCTAAGGGGAGC